TTGATTAGCTGTCTCCTGCATGCTTCCCACTTGGGATTGAGCCCACAATCTGGACATATGCCCTTGACCGGAATCAAACCTGGGACCCTTGAGTCCACAGGTTGATGCTCTATCCACTGAGCCAAACTGGCTAGGGCTGGATCTATTTTTGATCATCAATTTATTTGGTACATTAGATTTCACATATGAATGAGATCATGTGATACTTATCTTTCTCTGCTCTGCAAAATACTCTCCAGGTCCATTCTTGCTGTTGCAAATGGCAAGAGTTCTTACTTTTTTATTGCCACATAGTATTCCATTGTGTAAAATGTTCCATAGTTTTTTTATCCACTCATCTGTTGATGGGCACATAGGCTGTTTCCAAGTAAAGCTCACACACTTTTGCTTAAACATCAATTCTCATTCAAAGAGATTTAAATGCTAAGAAAAAATGTTATCATTTTTTATTGTAGTTACCATTCCTTGTCCTCTTCCTTCCTTTATGCAGATCCAGATTACCATCTAATATTCCCCTATGCCTAAAGGATGTCCATTTTAACATTTCTTATAGTAAAAATAGGTTGATAAGGAGTTCTTCAGATTTTGTATTTTAAAAAGACATTTGGGTTTCATTTTTAAAAGATATTTTTAGTAGGTATAAATTCTCTAATTTGACTGATTTTCTTTTTCTTTTAGTCACTTAGATATTGATTTAACACTTTCTTGCTTCCATTGTTTCCAACAAGATTCTTGTCATTCTTATCTTTTCTTTCTGTAGCCAACATGCCTTTATTCTCTGGAAAGTTTCCCTCTTATTACCATTTTTGAGCAATTATAATGGGCCTTAGTGCTGTTTCTTTATATTTCTTCTATCTAGGGTTCTTTGAGTTTCTTGAATCTATGCATATATAGTTTTTAAATCACTATTTCTTCTAATATTTTTCCTGGTGCCTATTCCCCACTTTTCTGAATTCCATTTGTCCATATATTAGGAAGCTTGGAGATATCCTACAGCTCATTAATTTTTTTGTTTCTCTCTTAAATTTTCCTGTGTTTTATTTTAGTTAGTTCTTTTATGTGTTTAAGTTCACAAATCCTTTCTTCTACAATGTCTAATTTTTCATTAATCCAACCCAGTGTGTTTTTCATGGCAGGCTGAAATGAAAAATTATAGTTTTTATTTGTAGATATTTAGTTACATTCTCTTTATATTTTCCATGTCTCTACTTAACTTTTTGAACACGGAGAATACAGTTATAATAATTGTTTTAGTGTTCTGATTTTAACATCTGTGTCTGTAGTAGGTGAGTTTCAATTTATATATTTTCATTATCATAAGCTATATTTTCTTTTTTTTTCTTTTTTTTTAATATCTTTTATTGATTTTTTGCAGAGAGGAAGGGAGAGGAATAGAGAGCCAGAAACATCGATGAGAGAGAATCATCATCATCGATCAGCTGCCTCTTGCACACCCCCCACTGGAGATGTGCCCGAAACCAATGTACATGCACTTGACTGGAATCGAACCTAGGACCCTTCAGTCTGTAGACCAACACTCTATCCACTGAGCCAAACCGGTTTTGGCTTCATTTTCATTTTTAACCTGTTAACCGGGGCATAAGCTATATTTTCCTATTTTTTTGCATGCCTAATTAGATGTCAAACATTGTGAACTTTGTCTTGTTGAGTGCTGGGTATTTTGTATTCCTATAAAAATTCTTAAGCTTATTTATTTATTTATTTATTTATTTATTTATTTATTTATTGGGGGAGGGGGGGAAGAAGTGGAGATACAGTTAAGTTAAACTGCAAACAGTTTTATCCTTTCAGATCTTATCTTTAAGATTTGTATAGATGGCCGAAACCGGTTTGGCTCAGTGGTAGAGCGTCGGTCTGCGGACTGAAAGGTCCCAGGTTCGATTCCGGTCAGGGGCATGTACGTTAGTTGCGGGCACATCCCCGGTGGTGTGCAAGAGGCAACTGGTCAATGTTCTCTCTCATTGAAGTTTCTAGCTCTCTATCTCTCTCCCTTCCTCTCTGTGAAGAATCAATAAAATATATTAATAAAAAAAAAAAAAAAGATTTGTATAGATGGCACCAGAGTAGTGCTCCACCTAGAGCTAATTATCCTTAACTACTTAGACAATACTCCTCTTAGTTATCTACTCAATGCCACATGAATTATCAGTTTTTTTCTAGTCTGACCAGTGGGAAATAGGCACTATTCCTGGCTGTTTGTGAGTACTAGTCACTGCACTATTCCTTCCAATGTTTTCCCACTGGTTCTTTCTCCAATTTAGAGAACAGTATCTTCTATTCTGTATTCCCCCGAGTTTAGAGTATGGCTCTCAAGTTTTGACTGATCAATATCATCCTCAAAAATGTGGCACAGAAGAGGGTTCATTCTGGGATAAATTGCTTATCCTTTGTGATCCCACAACAGACTGTAACTCCTCTATCATAGAAATTACGATATCATCTTGAAATTGCATATTTAATAGACTTGTTGAGGGCAGAGACTGAGTTTGTCTTGCTCAATACCATTTCCTCAGTATTGAGCACAGTAGTAATACAAGTAATTGTGAAATATGAATTCTGAATTCTGCTTCCAAACTGCTGGTGAGAAAATGATCTTTAAATAAGTTACAGAGTTGCAGAACTCTAAAATGGGAGATTATAAATAGATAAGGCCTTCGTAGTTCACCTGCCTTTGATATTATAGTCCTATCCTGGCAGATGGGATTGAGTATTGACACTTATAAGCCTACTAGAATTCGTGCACAGGTAGGATCCAGCCAGCCCACCAGCCCCAATTAGGGCTGATTTGGGTTGATCAGTGCCGATTGGGCTGGGCTGTCCTGGGGATGTGGCCACGGGCATTTGGCAGGCTGTGCTTACCCCCTGGTCAAATACCCAGTTGAACTCCCAGTCAAATGGACAATTTGCATATTAGCCTCTTATTATATAAGATTTCACATTAAGCCAACTAACCAGGGACATCATACGGGTGGGTTAGGTACAATTGGCTTCAGACTACTCCAACAGCCTTGGGGCATATTTGAATTCTGTGCAAACCTCTCCTTTCTTCCACATATATTTTAGTACTATTGATGCCTGGCCCTGAGCCAGAAAGCCTCTAGGGCATTGTGGCAAGAGCAATTGTTCACATAGTATTTTGTGTTATGGGTAGGGGGCATTTGCTATCACATGTATCCAGACGGTACAATCAGAGTTTCCATCCAGCCTGTTACATCAAGATCAATGAAAGACATCTCTATTCTGTATTTTCTTTTGACTATCTGGACATGTACATCTTTCTTACCTTGCTTTAAACTAAATTCCACAATATTTTAGAATACTTATTCCGTGTCCTAGATATTCCAGTTACCATTGGGACTGGCCATTGGATAAGCCCTTTAACAAGAAAAATAGTACCCCCAAGGTGACATAAGGGGTGGAACAATATTCAATTTCTGAGCTGTGGATCTCCTTTGTTACAAATCTTTCTCTCCATCTTCTGCCATCATACTCATAGTACAGCTAATCTAATGCCTTGAACCCAGACAAATGTGAAATGGAACAAAGTGAGAATAGTAGGGGAAGTGTATTCATTCCATTGATTGGTTTATTCATTCATCAGTTTAATATTTATTGAGCACCTACTATGTGTCAGACACCATGTTGAATGTTAGTACAAAGACTAGCATATATAGATTTTGTCTTTTTTTTAAACAGGACCCTCTCTGGGCTAAGAGAAAGCCCTATTTCATATATATATATATATATATATATATATATATATATATATATTGATTTTTTACAGAGAGGAGGAGAGAGGGATAGAGAGCTAGAAACGTCGATGAGAGAGAAACATCGACCAGCTGCCTCTTACACACCTTATAGGGGATGTGCCCGCAACCAATGTACATGCCCTTGACCAGAATCGAACCCAGGATCTTTCAGTCCACAGACTGACGCTCTACCACTGAGCCAAACCGGTTTCGGCTAGACTTTGTCTTTGAAAATTCACAGTCCTGTGGTAGTGGCAGACAAGTGAATAGTTATAATAATGTGAGTGAGAAATGCTAAAGTAGAAGAATACATAAGGCCAATATCCAATTTTTTGAGAGGACATAATTTCTTTGAGAGAAATGGTGTTTATCTTTCCTAACAACATAATTTGTAGGTGAGCACTCTGTAAAAAATCAAAACAACAACAAACAAATAAACAACTCCACCCTGGATTCTGATCCCAGATTTTTCTCCGAGTAGCTGTGTATCCTTTGACAATCATTTCAGCTTTCTGAGCCTCCGTTTCCTATTTGTAAAGTGTAACTGTTGTTACCATTTCCACCTACCTCACCAGGTTATTGCAAAGATCAATGGTCATGAGAGTGACTTCTTAATTAATTGTAAATATCCTTATAAAATAAAATATGTAATCATGTTAGAGTCTCACTTGGTTTTTGAATTTTAAATAAATTGTTCAGCATTTCATGCAAGTGCTGAATAATCTTTTTTAAAAAAAATAATAAAGGAAGAGAGGGAACCAGCAGGTAAGCATCCTTCACTGTAACAGCTTTCACAGTTCAAAGCAGGTCTGACTTGACCTTTTCAGAACCTCAGAAAGATATTTACTAAAATGAGAACCCAAAGAATTTGTCCAAGAACATAATCTCTCCAAAACCTGAGCCTGAACCACTTCCCAAGGTCTTTAAACATCAACAAAAGTCAGAAGCACCACGCCCTGGCAGCTGGGGGCTTCTCAGCTAAGGAAGGGCAAGTTCAGGAGGGGCTGGACCAGGCTTCCCACTCGCCCTGTGACGCACAGGCCCCGCCCCCAGGCCGCCGCTCTATCCCGTGACGCACACGGCCCGCCCCCAGACGGCCGCTCCACCCCGTGATGCACGGGTTCCGCCCCCAGGCCGCCGCTCCTCCCCGTGACGCACGGGGCCCGCCCCCAGGCTGCCCATCTCTCGCGGGATCTCCTGGGAAGGCGGATGGGGTCAGGCCCCATCATGGCGGCGGAGGAGGCGGATGTGGACGTCGAAGGGGACGTGGTGGCAGCGGCCGCACAGCCCGGGTGAGGCATAGAGACCGGGCCCCGCAGGGACGCAGAGGGACACGGATGCGCGGAAAGTGCCTTGGAAAGGCTGCGGGTGTGTCCAGGGTCAGGGGAGCGGAAGAACCCCCGTAGGCACGGGGCCTCCCGGAACAGAAGGGTCGCGCCCATCCCGCCGGCCGGCTGCTCCAGCGCCCCAAGGCCCGCTGCCGAGGGCTCGTGCTCGTGTCGGACGCCCTTTCCCATTTTACAGAGATGCTGTGAGCATGCGTACTTCGCCCTAGCACATTGCAATTAGATTCCTTCTTTACCTCTGCCTCAGAATCTCGCCATAATTCGCCCTGTGCCTGACAGTAACTAGAACCCGGACGGCCCGGGACGGGACCTGCGCTCTGAGACCCTTGTTTCAGTATTTGCAAGCCTGTGACCTTGGGCGTGTCGTTTCACTCCTACTGGCCACAGGTTTCCTCTTCCACTTAGGGTTAGTGGTGGAAAAGTTCCCGAGAGGCAGCTTGGCTTCAAGGCACGGGGTAGGACTGAATTGGACAGCTCTGGGTTCTCCTGCATCGCTGGCCTTTCCCGTTACTAGCAGTGTGGCCTTGGGCCATTTAACTGGTCCCATCCTCTGACAGCCCATGTGTAAACTGACAGTCATGATATGTACCGCGCGCGGTTATTGTGAGGAGCCATTAAAATAAATACGGGATGAATTTCTGCATGTGATAGGGTGTTCTGTAAATGTGTTCTTTGCCATCCGGTTACTTTTAGGGATGGTATTGTGAGGACCCAGCGAGGGGTCAATGCTTATTAATACCTATTCCTGATTCCTGCATATCAGGCCAATGTGGATTTTAAACAGCAGTGTACAGACAGAGAGATCTAGCCCTCTCATTTCTTGTTTTCTGAGAAGAAATTGATACATGCCATTAAAAAAAAAAAAAATTGTGCTTCCAGAGTCTCCTTTTAGTAATGGAAGAGGCCTAGACTGATGAGGAATCAAAAGAATTCTGTTCCAAACTCAGCCAGCTATGTTGCTTGTAACTATGAACAACTTTATTAGAACTCTGTTAGGTTGAACCTTGTGAAATGTTCAATCTTAGACCATTTTTTACCTATAAAGTGGCGATTTCATATGGTCCAATCTAATAATAGGGCCTCCGTAAATGGTGGAGGAGAATAGTAACTCTTGACAATGAAGGTCTAAGAAAGAGGGTTTAAAGTGCTCGTGAACGCTAAAGCACTGTAAAAATGTGCAGAGTAATTAAATTCATATATAGTCATTTTCCCCAAAGTCTTTAGGTAGAGCAGCCCAAAGTTATGCAAAATGAGTAGAGAGCCTATTTTATTAACAATTATCTTGTTAATCTTGACAAAGTGCTTTTGCTTGCATGATTTAATTTACTTTTCACAAGAAGTCTATGAGATCAGTGTGCAAGGATATTTATTTGCAGTCAAGAGAGAAATAAGTTGAACTTGGAAACACTAAAGATCACCTTAGGGCATTGGCTCTACCCCTTTTCTGTGGATTCTTCTTCATCTTTATTTTTCTTATTGTATTTACTTTTTCTTCCATATCCCCACCCCATTTCTCTCTTCTTACTCTGAGCCTTGGGTGTATTGGTGCACCTCTGATCATCTTAGTCTTATGCAGGAAGGATTACAAAGGTTGGTTGTTTCCTGGTGGTTAGAGTCATTGCTTTACCATCTCCAAAGAGTATCAGTGACATTATATTCTGGGGATTCGTGCCCCCTGATGTGATTTTTCAACTTTACGATGGTGCAAAAGTAATAAGCATTCAATAGAAATCATACTTCCAATTTTGAGTTTTGATCTTTTCCGAGGCTAGTGATAACATCTACGATACTCACATATGATGCTGGGCAGTGGCATCATGTTGTAACTCCTAAATAGGCAGGGGATCACAAGAGATACTCCTACAGTGAACTGTGTTGCCAGCATTTTTTGGATATTGTGTTCTGAGCACGTTTAAGGTAGGCTTGGCTAAGCTATGATATTTGTTAGGTTAGGAGTATTAAATGCATTTTTTACTTAGGATGAGTTTATTAGGACAAAACTCCTTCATAAGTCAAGGAGCATTTACACTTGCTAAGTGCTAGGTACCAGAGTTAGAAGATGGCATTGAAATTTTTTTCCCTTCTATTTCTCCTACCATTCCTTATCATCCTCTCTTTCTTTTGCTTGTCCTTTAAGTCATAGTGTTCTAAGTGGTTTTTGTCACAAGACATCTACTCAATAAATACATACTAGTAGTCCCTGGTGATACCATATGTCAAGACTTAAATTTCTGTTTGTTGGGTTGGACAATATGAAAGTTTGCCAATATTTGACCTACAAAAATGACTGTTTCATAAGTTCACTTAATACATGTTGATCTTGCCCAAATCTTCCTGCCAACCCAAATCTTTTCCTATCTTCATATCCATTTATCCTACTTTCTCAGTCTGTTTGCATTTGGATGTTCCACAAGGCCTTCAATCTCAGCTTATAAACCTTCCCCACCACATGTGCCTCTCTGGGTTCCCTACTTCAGTAAATGGCACCATCCTCCCAGTCACCCACGCAACAGACCTACATGTATTCTTTATCTCTCTCTTCCACTTCTATCAGTTATGATGGTCTATTGATTCTTAATATCCTCTCAAATGTATTCACTTCTTCCTATTCACACTGCTTGTTCTCTCGGTCTAAGTCACCTTTTCCTAGTGTTTATACTGGAATCACTCTTAACTGCTCCTTGCCTCTTTGGCTCCTTCTATCCTTTCCTGAAGTTTGAGCATTCTTTCTTACATCCAGGTCTGATCATGTTATTTTCTTCAATCCCCAGTTGGCTTTATGATAAAGTCTTCATTCCTTAACTCCTAGAGACACCTGTTTGATCCATGCCTCATCTACCTCATTCATTCAATCATTTAAGAAATATTGATTGAACAACTCTGTATGCCAAGCTCTGGGTATACAGCAGTTACCAAAACTAAGTCCTTGCTTTCGTAGAACTAACATTCTTATTAGATGAGACAGACAGTAACATTTCTGTATATGTCAGATGGGGAGAACTGGAAAAGATGGAGGGAAGGTAGATGATTGACTTATCAACTGAGTCCCTTGCAATTTTAACCAGGGATAATTATCAGGACTGAAACTATGGGGCCTTAAAGGTCAGTGTGGATATAGTGTAAGAACTGGATTTGGAAAAGGGAGCAACAGAATTGGCAACAAGTTGAATGTGCATTTTGAGGAAATAAGGATAGGTGCAGATTTCTGGCTTGGGGATAGGGGATGGAGGTGCCATCAACGGATATAGGTATTGATAAAAGAGTAGCATATTTGAGAAACCACCTTCCCAACAAGGATCTAAGATGGCTGCACAGGTAAACACCTAACCACAGTAGCACACAACAATTTCAATGGAATACAACTAAAATATAAAATGGACATTGCCCAGAGCTACAGGTAGTCGACTGACTGAAAATTCTACTACAAGAAGGAAAGAGAAAACCAGAAGGAAAATCAGAGGAGCTGAAAAAGCCTAAGGTACGGAGACATGCTGCGCGCGCGGAGAGGACAGAGCCGGAGAGGAGGAGAAGGCTGGGTGCCTGCCTGGCGTTCCCTAGCAGGAAGGAAATAAAAGCCCCGGACTGGGCTGAACCCCAGAACCGGCAGCGCTGAGCCCCAGTTCTGGGCCAGACCCTGGGGACCCAGGCTCAGGCAGGGGGCGACGGGGCTGTGAGGCGGAATCCCAGGGAAGCCCCCGGAGTCGCACACATTGCGCGCAAAAGAAGGAATGTTGACTCTGATGCTAGATTGCCCTGGCGGGAAGGAAACAAGAGCTCCGGCCGTGCTGGGCCCCAGTTCTGACTGCTTTGAACCCCAGTTCTAGGCCAGACCCTGGGGATCCAGGCTCAAACAGAGGGAGACGGGGCTATGAGGCTGAGTCCAGGGGAGCTGCGAGGGGCCGAGCCCCTGGAGTTGCGCACTTTGCGCACAGAGGACAGTCTGTTGACTCTGATGCTAGACTCTCCTAGCGGGAAGGAGGAAAAAACTCCAGACTGGGAGGAACGTGATGAGGAGTAGGAGCTGCTGCCGGGCACTGGCCAGCGGGGCGCCAGCAAGAAGCCGGGCGACGGGGCCCCCGGGGCGGAGGGAGGGTGCCGCTGGGCCCTCAACCGCTGATCGCGGACCATGGAGCCCAGGCCGGGGGCTGCTTCCTGGGCAGCGCCAAACCTGGCAACAGGCTGAAGCCGCGCAGGAGGCCAGCCTGCTGAGCTTCCAGGACTAGGAGGAAGAAACCGAAGAAGTTTTCAATGTGAAGAAATCAAGTTAATAGCAAAAGATAGTAAAATTACTTAAGAAAGAATACAAAGAAGATCCTAAAAAATCGAAGACTAAGACAGAACTCAACTCAGCAGCCAACACTGCAACATAAATGCGTTTTAAAAAAAGAAAAAAAAAAAAAGAGGACAGAATGTTGGAACGGCGGTGGCCAGGCCCAAGACAGTGGAAGCCAGGGCCCAGAGAAGCAGCAGCCAGGCCCCAGAACAGGAGCAGCCAGAACCAGAGCAGCAGCAGCCAGGTCTGGAGCAGCCAGACCTGGGGCAGTGGCAGCCAGGCCTGGGGCGGAGGCTGCCAAGCCCAGGGTGGCCAGGCCAGGAGCAGCGAGGCCCGGAGTGGCCGGGTTGGGAGCAGCCTGGCCCAGAGCAGCTGGGCCCAGAGCAGCCGGGTCAGGAACAGTCATGCCCGGAGCAGTAGCACCCAGGCCGGGAGCGGCCGGGCCCGGAGCAGCCAGGTTGGGAACAGCAGGTCGGGACCAGCAGGTCGGGAGCAGCCAGGCCCAGAGCAGCAGCAACCAAGCTCGGAGCAGCCAGGTCAGGAGCGGCCAGGTCAGGAGCGGCCAGGTCCTGGAGCGGCCAGGCCCAGAGCTGCCGGGTCGGGAACAACCAGGCCTGGAGCAGGAGCAGCCGGGCCCAGAGCAGCCGGGTCAAGAGTAGCCAGGCCCAGAGCGGCCAGGCCCAGAGCAGCTGGGTCGGGAGCATCCAGGCTCGGAGCAGCTGGGCCCAGAGCAGCCGGGTTGGGAGCAGCCAGGCCCAGAGTATCAGCTGCCAGGCGGGAAGCAGCCAGGCCCGGAACAGCAGCAGCCAGGCCAGAAGCAGCAGTGGCCAGACCCGGAGCAGCTGGTTGTGGAACGAACCAGAGCAACAGAGGCCAGGCCCGGAGCAGCCAGGCCCGGAACAGCTAGCTCCTCGCCTGCCTCCACCCCAAGGCTGCCTCTCAGACATAGCTGGAAACTTTTGGGGGAACTTGAGGGTCTGCTGAATCAAGTGATGAAGGCTTAGATCTGGATGTGTTGAGTTAGTATAGCCCTGGGGTGCCTTGTGTGGGGTCAGGATGAGGTTGGTTGATCTATTTGGAAATGTCTTTTGTGTGAAGTGTATCCTTGGGCATGTGGAGGTATTATTGATTTGAGAAAATGCTAAGTAACTGATTTACTATCTGAAAAATTTAAAGTTCTGAAAGTTTAAGGTCTCTTGCCAAAAAGAGGTTTTAAAGCTAACACCTTAATTTTAATGGAGAAAGGGGAAGACAATCCCTTCCCACCCAGAACAGGTAATCCAATTCCAACCAGCAGCTATCTTTAAACAACGTGTTCATTTACATTTGAATGGCTACACCTTTTGTTAGCCTAAGGGCAAGTTTACATGTAAACAAGTTTGCTTCTCAATTCCCAGAGCAGAAAAAACAAGGTTTAAAATTATTAGATTTTAAAATTTATTCTTAGAAGTGTAAAAGTTTATTAATTAAAAAAAAATAACAACAACAAAAAAAGGAGATTGAAAAACTTGATGAACAATATTAGCTGTTGATTGTAGTAGAGTCAGCAATATGGGAGGGGAGTGGACTGACTGTTCTTTGGGAAAGGGGGAGTGGTGGATGCAGGGAGGGGAACTGAAGGTAAACTGTGCACCTATGGATGAGGACAATGGAGGGTGGGGAGGGGGCGGAGGGTGGGGTGGGAACCTGGTGAAGGGAGGAAGAAATGAGGAACCTTTGTAATAATATGAACAATAAAAATTGATTAAAAAAAAAAAAGAAACTGTGTGTTAGAAATATTGCCCTATCTGTTTTGGAAATCCTTTTCTAAAAATAGCATGTGTAATTTGACTTTATGTTGTTTGGGGACATACAAACTTTAAAAATATACAGTCAATTATGTCTATTTTTATTAGCTTTTGGATTTTGTGTCTCATTTACAAAGTTTTTTCTGACCTCAAAAATGTTCTCCTAAGCCTCAATAAATGTTCTTTAAATGTTAAAAAAAAAAAAAAAAAAAAAAAAAAAAAAGAGTACCATATTTGAGAGGAAATGTGAACTCAGGTTTAAACATGCTAATATGGGGTATCTATGGATATTCAGGTAGGTGTCCAGTCACATACACCAGCGATGTGGGTGTTGCTAACCCTTATTGAGAAATAACATGTAAAAATATTTCTAAAGTAAATTTGAAGAGGTACTAGTCCCACCTCTTGCATGCTTGGCAAACCTAGTTAAGTAAATGTTTTCTTCTGCTGATACAAGTCTCAGAATCCCTTAGTTTGTATTTCTGGTAGCCTTTACCGAATTTAAATTGACACGAGTTAAAACCTTTTTGTTATCAACAATTGAGAGACATTATCACTTTTAGTTTATTGTAGATAGTCTGTTAGCTCCACAATTCATTATAACCACTATGGAACTAATTGAAGATTCAAAAATGTAAAGAATTTGACTGTAGGTTTTTGCAGTCAAATTCTTATCACTACACTAGGTCTGGGAAAAGTCAGTAACTTAACTGGGAAAATTTATAACTTTAGGACATACCGTGTTTCCCCGAAAATAAGACATCCTCCGAAAATAAGACCTAGCGCAACTTTGGGAGAAAAAATTAATATAAGACACTGTCTTATTTTCGGGGAAACAGGGTACAGAAGCAAAAATTTAATTATATCATAGATTAGGCTTTCCAAAACTTAAATATTTAACTGTTCAGCCTTTTTGCATATGAAGTGAACATATGACTTGAGAGAGTTCTTATTAGTTTACTAATGAAAGGAGTGAATTAACAGTTTGATCCCCATGGATAGAGAAAAGAGCCCATTAACCCAAGTTAATTTGTTAAATTATATGAGTTGTTATTAAAACATTACATTCTCGTATCTCTTCATTCTACTGTCCTTCAACTATTTTCTATTTGGTTTCTTCCATTTGTTTATTTTATTTTTTTTTCTATTTTTAAAAAATATATTTTATTGATTTTTCACAGAGAGGAAGAGAGAGGGATAGAGAGTTAGAAACCCATGAGAGAGAGACATCGATCAGCTGTCTCTTGCACACCCCCTACTGGGGATGTGCCTGCAACCAAGGTACAGGCCCTTGACAGGAATCGAACCCGGGACCTTTCAGTCTACAAGCTGACGCTCTATCCACTGAACCAAACCGGTTTCGGCTTTTTTTTTTTTTTTTTCTATTTTGAGGGTGGTGCTATTGATGGTAGCTTTCATGCTTTAGGTATATTTAAAAGAATTAATTGTAAAGTTGAATTCCTACATACACCTCAAAAGAAATCTGAAGTGTTGATTCATGGCCACAGAGCATGTGTGGTTGCTGCTTTGGGTTTTTTTTTTTTTTCCTTATGAAGTTGTTTATTCTTGGGAAACAAAAGAAGTGAATGGACTTGATGTTTAGCAGTTGAGATAAGGTAATTTAATTCACAGACCAAAGAGGTATCACAGGCATTTCTACAACATTAAATCTGTTAAGGAGAGAAGGGAACTAAATATTTGCTTAACATCTCAACCTGCCAGTCACTGCTATGTAAAATGTATACATTAACTTATGTAATATCACTTTTATACTCATTTTCTTATTACAGAAATGATGAAAATACAGCATCTATTTTACAAGATCATTATCTTGATTCATCATGGAGAACTGAGAATGGTCTTATTGTAAGTATTTTATGAAAATATTAGGGACATTAAGCTATTACTCATTACCCAAAGTACCTCTTTTTTTTTTTTTTTTTTTAATTTGGTGCTAGTACTCAGCAATAACAAAGGTAATAAATTTAAACTTTTTAAAAAAATATGTTTTTATTGATTTCAGAGAGGAAGGGAGAGGGAGAGAGAGGGACATGTGAGAGTATCATTGATTTGCTGCCTCCTGCATGCCCCCTACTGGGGATCAAGCTCACATGTGCCCTTGACCAGAATCAAATCTGGGATTGCAGGCGAACGCTCTATCCATTAAGCCAAACCAGTTAGGGCGAAACATTTTTCTTACTGAAACTTATTCTTATTTCTTTTGACTTTGAAAAATTGCTACAAATGGGAAACAACTGTTGGATCCAGCTGGATTTGAATGCAAGTCCTTGCTCACTACTTACAAGATTTGTGAACCTCAGTTTCATCTGAAAAATGGGGATCATTGCAGGGTTCATTTCCTCATTTACAGTTATTTACTGAGTATGTACTATGTGCCAGACACGACCAGATTTGGAGGTTCAACTATAATTAAGACATACATGATCTTTCAAGGAGCTTATAGTCTAAAGAGTCAGTTATTAAACAAATAGACCAATTATAAATCATGAAGAACATTAGATACAGACTAAGGATGACAGGATGGGGAACCTACTTTAGATAAAGTCAGTATGGGAAACAGGAGGTGACTTTTTTAAAAATTATTTTTATTGACTTCAGAGAAGAATGGAGAGGGAGAGAGAGAGAGAGAAATAGCAATGAGGAGAGAGAATTGTTGCCTCCTGCATACCCCCCACTGGAGATTGAGCCCACAACCCAAGCATGTGCCCTTGACCAGAATCGAACCCGGGACCCTTTAGTCCACAGGCCCGGCGCTCTATCCACTGAGCCAAACCAGCTAGGGCTGAGAAGGTGACTTTTAAGTTGAAATGTAATAAAAGAGGGGAGTAGATATGTGATGAGTTGAAGAAAAACATTAGGCAGGAAGAATATTATTACAAAGGCTGGTTGGAAGTCAGTTCTAGAATATGGTAAGAGGAGGTGTGACAAGGTTGGGAAGGCAGATGAGAGCTCTGTCATATTTGTAGGAATCAAGAGACCAGTTAAGAAACATTTGAGTATTCTAAGCAGTATTTGGTGGTAACTTGGCCTGAGGTGATGGCAGAATCAATAGAAGTAGAGAGATTTAATTATATTTTGGAGGTTGAGCTCTTTGGTAAACTGGACATAGGATTGAAGGAAAAAGAAAGAATCCAGAGTGATTCTTGGGTTTTTAGCTGGAATAACTTGGTGACTAGTAGTGCCATCTATAAAGTTGGGAAGGCCGGGGAAGAAGCAAGGTATGTGATGGTGAATTATGATTTATTTTTTATTTATTTATTTTTAAATATATTTTATTGATTTTACACAGCCGATCCCAGCTGAATTATTATTTAAATGTTAAATTTAAGAAGCCTACTGGATACTGAAGTGGAAGTTTTGAGGGGGAGCAGTTGAAAATAACAGTCTAGATCTTAGAGACGAGAACTGAGCTGAATTTTTTTTAAAAAAAATATATATATTGATTTTTTTTACAGAGAGAAAGGTAGAGGGATAGTTAGAAACATTGATGAGAGAGAGACATTGATCAGCTGCCTCCTGCACACCCTGCAGTGGGGATGTGACCACAACCAAGGTACATGCCCTTGACCAGAATGGAACCTGGGACCTTCCAGTCCACAGGCCAACACTCTATCCACTGAGCCAAACTGGTTTCGGCCTAAGCTGAAATTTTTTAAGTTTTGAGAGTTGAAAATGAATGTGATTATTCAAGGAGATATTGTGGCTTAAGGGAAAAAAGAATTGTGAGTTTTGGAAATAGGTGAAATATCTAGCATAATGCTGATAACTAATAGTCCTTTATACATGACTAGAGGCCCGATGCAGGATAGTCATGCAAGAATAGACCTTCCTTCCCCTGGCTGCTGGCACCAGCTTCCCTCTGGCACCTGGGACCCAGGCTTCCCTCACAGCCCCAACTTCATCCGGAAAGTCATCCAGAAGGACACCGGTCTAATTTATTGTGCTTTTATTATCATAGATAGCCATTATTACTTTATCATGGATAGGAGCTTGAGCATTGGACTCTTAACAGACTTGAGCCTTTAACTCTTAACAGGGGTGCCTCTGTGAAGTAATAATGCCTATTGCGTAGAGTTATCGTAAGAATCAAAGCTATGTCTATGTGCTCCGTAAATGACAGCTGAAATTGTTAATCATATCATTGTACATTTTCATTTAATAATATATGGAAGATAACTTCAAAAAGTAGTAAATAAAAAGAAAATATGTTCTTCTCTTTTATAATAATAGCCTTGGACTCTGGACAGCACCATCAGTGAAGAGAACAGAGCTGTCATTGAGAAAATGTTGTTGGAAGAAGAGTATCCTTTAATGATTGTGAGGAAAGAAAATTTTAGGGTTTAATACCTCTAAATGCAAAAATTACAAAAGAGACCACTGTTAATTTGGCCCCAGTTTGCTACAATATTATATGTTACCTACCTATGCAAAAAAGCTGCATTTTATTCCTTTGGTTTCTGTTTTATTGCTAAGTCTGAGGTATGATTCAACATTTTTGAATTTCTATTGTTAACCAACTCTTTATACTGTCTGAATATTGATTTAAAATTATAAAATATTTTAAGTTAGCTAGAACCTGTAGTCCAAGACCATTTAATCCAAATTCCCCATCTTCAGTTATATAAGCTGAAATCCAGAGATATTGATTTATCCAAGGATTCAGAATTAGAATATATAAAAGTTCTCACTTTTTATTTTATTTTAATTTTATTGATTTTTTACAGAGAAGAAGGGAGAGGGATAGAGAGTTAGAAACATCGATGAGAGATTAACATCGACCAGCTGTCTCCTGCACACCCCCTACTGGGGATGTGCCCGCAACCAAGGTACATGCCCTTGACTGGAATCAAACCTGGGACCTTTCAGTCCATAGGACGATGCTCTATCCACTGAGCCACACCGGTTTTGGCAAGTTCTCACTTCGTACTCAACCAATTTACAGGTGTTATGTAAGAGGAATCAAAGTAAAAAACACAAAACAAAAACAAAAGGATAAAGATGTGCCATCCTTCTCCTCACCCCCCCCCCCCCCCCAAAAAAAAATCGTTATCCATGGTCAGGCACTGGCTACTTGTCCTTGTTTCTTTAATCTGTATGTGATGTTAGCAACTTAATTTCTTTGGGACTAAATTTTCTTATATGTAAAATGTGAGGATTTAACACAATGATTTCTGATTTTATGATTTATAAAGGGTATTAATAGTTTAATGAGTTGTGGTTTATTGAACATTTTATAGTAGCCTCCTTTAAAACAGGTGAAATTAATTTTAATAATTTATTTAACTAGTAATGTTATTTCAACATTTAATATAAAAACATTATTGAGATCTTTCACATTCGTTTCATACTCTTTGAAATTCAACGCCTCAGTTTGTGCTAACCACATTTCAAGTATTTAGTAGTTACACATATGGCTATTGGCCAATGTATTGAACAATGCAATTCTAAATGAATGAATACTTAAGTAGTTACTGGTTCACTTCCAGACGTGGAAGCAGAAGTAATGAGAGTAAAAGCTATGTCAGCTCTTAGAGGACAGGGATAATATTTTCTTAAATCTTTGTCTTCAGTATCTAGTACCTAGCATAGTGCCTGACATCCACAATATACAGGCAATAATTGTTAGTGAAGAATATTTCTGATTAAGTTATTGTAACAGGCAGTTTTAAGACGTTTGAGAGGGAGGCTTTCTGGTAGATTTGACCCAAGTTTATTAGGGTAGAGAACAACCCTGAGCTCTTTGTTACCTTGAGAAATATGAAGACAGTTGGTTGTCCAAAATTACTCTGGACGACCAATCAAATTCATCCATTACATCCTCCATATGGTTTAGGGAAAAAGAATTAAACATTGAAGATGTTTCTTTTCTTAGCCACCGCTGAAAAGGAAGATAAGAGAAACGAGCATTTATGTAATATTTTATGCAGGTACCATTTTGTGTTAATCCATGTAACAGCCCTGTGAGGTATAAATAATTTTATCAAAAATTGTACAGACCTGAAAAGGGCTTTGAAAGGAATTGGTTTATTTAGGATTCGAGTGTGACTTTCATGAGTATCTATATATGTAAAAAGCCAGCAACCAGAAGGCAGTAATGACAGAACAACTGATAGCTATGACACCCACTGCAGCCAGTGAACCTGCTGGATCAGGGTGGGGTGGGGCCAGCTGGCCATCCTCCTGCAGCCCCTGCTCCACCCAGCTCCACCCCAGATCAGCACCCCCTCCCTGATCAGGGGCAAGGAGGGCCAGGCAACCACCAATGGTCCCTCCCTCAGGCCACTGGCTCCTGATCGGCCCCCATGGACCCTATTTGGGGGCAGGGCTGGCCAGCCAGCTAGGCCACTGCCCACAGCCCCTCCCCGCAGCTGGCCCAACCCCAGTCAGCCTCTACCACCCCGATCAGCCTGCAGCCCCTTGCCCCAGCTAGCTCCACTCCCGATCGCCCCTCCCCACACCAATTGGGGGTGGGGCCAGCCATCCCATTGCCCATAGCTTTTCCCTACAGCCGGCTCTGCCCCTCTGCCCCTCTGCCCCCCTGTAGTGGGGGAGGGCCCACCAGCCAGTTGCCCACAGCCCCTACTCCAGCTGGCTCAGCCCTAATTGGACCCCAGTTGGCGTGGGTCAGCCAGCCAACCTCCTGCCATCTCCTCCCAACAGGCCTGGCCCTGCTCTGCCCCATTGGGGTTGGGCCAGCCAGACCCCAGTTGTGACAGATTGGTGCACTGGCCTCTATACTAATAAAAAGGTAATATGCTAATTAGAGCAGATGTCTTCTAGACAAAGCCGCAGTGGCTGCAAGGGCCAAAGGCAAGCAGCCATGGCGGCCCCTGTGAGGGCTGAGGGCAGGCAGCCATGGCAGCAGCTGCGAGGCCTGGGGCTGAGGCAGTCATGAACCCTGGTGGCTGCGAGGCCTGAGGTTCAGGCCTCGCAGCTGCAATGGACTGCAGTGGCAGCAGTAATGGGGTGATGGGGGTGGTGCATTCCCTTGATTGGCCTGGTCGCCTTCCACAGAGGGAGGCTAGAGGCAGCAGCATTGAGGGAGTAATAGGGGTGGCGCCTTCGCCTGATTGGCTGGTCAACTTCTGCAGAGGAAGGCCAGATTGTAGTCAGTAGGACATCCCCTGAGGGCTCCCAGATTGTGAGAGGAGGCAGGCCAGGCTGAGGGACCCCCTCCAGTGAATGAATTTCATGCACTGGGCCTCCAGTCCTGTCTAATAAAGAGGGAATATGCAAATTGGCCATCATACCATCCCACAGCAGAGTCAGGGATTCCATAATACAAAATGACTGCATCCCTAGCTTAGTCAGGGATCCCGTAACACAAGATGGCTGTACCCACAGCGGAGGCCAAGTTCCTGTAACAAGCCTTAACAAGAAATCAGCAGGATCTGAGGTGGTGCCCCACGCCCCTCAAGGCTTGATGAGGGACCTCAGGCTGCACCCCTTGGTCTGGGCCAGGGGACCTCAAATTGCGCCACCTGGTGGGGTTTGACAGAGGTGGGGCCAGTGGGTTTGGATATAACCCGATGGGTGTGGGGCTGGCCCGGTTTGGGTCTTGCATAATTTCTAGGTGCACATGGGTGGGTGCACCCCAGACTCTGACAAGAGGAAGATTTTCATACACATTAATTTTCTTTCATCTCTGACACTTATAGAGAAAGGGCAAATAGCAATATTAAAATACTAGAGGACCAGTCCATGAAAATTCATACACTGGGGTAGGGCTTCCTTAGCCTGGCCTGTCCCCTCTCATAGTCAGAGAGCTCTCAGGGGTGGGAGGTGACCCAGCAATCAGGGGAAGGCGATCACCCCCTCCTCCCTCCATCACACCTTTGCTGCTGCCATTGCCAGCAGAGTAAGCTCAGCCCGGCCTTGGTTACCTGTGCCTCGGGCAGCCCTGGGGGGCCATCCAAGGCTTACCTGTGGCTTGGGCCAGCCCTGGGAGGCTGAGGAGTTGAGGGGACTGGGAAACTGGAGGCAGATGCATGGAGTGAACGGACCTGCCTGCTGCCCCAGTGGGGCTGAGGGGACTGGGTGCTGCCATGTTTGAAGGCATGGCAATCAATTAGTATATTCTCTCCTTACTGGATGTGGGCACCACCATCTTTGTGAGGGCATAAGGGTCAATTAGCATATTCCTTCTTTATTAGATAGGCTTTCCTCTTAATTCCCTTTTAATGTGCACGAATTTTATGCACTGGGTCACTAGTATAATATAAATGCCTACTTTATATGAGTCATGTAAAAGTTATGATTTTATTGTTTTTAAAGTTTCCTTAATAATTACACAGGTATTATTTATCTAAAAAATCACTTCCAGAAAAATTCTGGCTTGATCAAAAGGAAGATGATAAAAAATACATGAAGAGGTAAAAATTAATTATCATACTTTTAAAAATATGATCAGTACTTTTACAAACTTCACACACTTCCCTATTTTCTTTTTTCATGTGGTGGTGCAGTCCGCAGAAAACAGCAAAAATCATGTATGTACTTATGTTTAAAACTTTAAAACCTTTTTTATTAGTTAAAAGTTATGGGAAAATTAAATAAAAATTATAGTCGGCTTGTGCAAAAACTTTCTTGATCTTGAATTATACAAAAATATAAAATAAAAATTTCTTGTATACATTGGAATGCCCCAAGGTAATTTTATGCTGCTATTTTTCAAAATTTCTCTTTTCGTTTCATCAGATTATGGAAAAGATAGGTTTCTTAGGGATTTGTGGGGAAACTTTTAAAATCTGCTATTTAATATTGGGAATTGACATGATTTCAATTGCACTGTCAGTTAACTTTTAATCACTTCAAACAAAAATTTAATTTGAATTTGTAGCTTTTAAAAAATTAAAGAAACTATTAAATATTTTATTTAGTGTTTATAAACTTGCATGTTTATGCTCCCTTAAAGGATAAGGCTTACAGATTTGCAGTTGCCAAAAGTTTGAGCACTGACTAGACTTTGGCTTTTTCATTTTGCTGAATAAACAAAAATAAAAAATGAAGTTAATGAAAAGATTAATGGTGTGCTTGAATTAAATTAGTGAGCCTCATCACTTTTAATTTTTTTTAAGAGACTGCAATTTCAAACGCAATAAACATAATGCCATACTTTGTTTTTTTTATTACTTTTCTGGCTTGTTATTTACATGGATTTACATGGAAGAATCAGAGATAATATTTCTAGAGTCAGTTTAAACTTTTACGTGCCTTTCAGGATTTGGAAATATTTTAATGTCTGCTGTTTTATGTCCAGCATAAAGAACCCTATTTGTTTGTTTTCACACTGACTCCCTTTGATGTCTTTTAGTGTTATCTTCACTCAGACCCAAGGATTATGTCTTTTGAGGGTCCTAACATACTGAGCTAGAGAATTATAGGAGACAGGGTAAATCTGCCTCCTCAATGTAGAGGCTGCAGCCTTCTTCTTCTTTTACTTTTTTTAAGTTCTTAGACTCAGAATATTGAATTTATTTTATGGCTGTCTATAATCTTTAGCTGCATAAATATGGAATGTTCCATTTCAGATTTTTTTTTTTGCAATTCCTTTTTCCCCCCTCAGGGTACAATCTCCTACAAAACCAGCCAGTTTCTCAGTAAAGTGGACGATAGAAGAAAAAGAGCTGTTTGAACAAGGGCTGGTAAATAGAGCAATTTTTGACTTATAGTAAAATAATTCTAAAATCAAATATTGATAGAATTATAAGGTTAAATTATTTGTAGAGACCAGAAATTTCTTTTTAATCACAGTGATTATATATGTAGTTTTTCAATAGATAGAGTGATGATGTATGTAGTATAGTACAAGAGAATTTAACTCACTTAAGTTAATAAAATATTAAAATAGATTTGGATTAATTTTTGAATAGTTTTTATCCTATTTTTATACTAGTAAAACCCCCAAATTGAACTATTTCTTTAAACTACCTGGTTTAAAAGGGAGAATTATTTAGTTATCTGTGCATATGGAACTGTCTGTGTTGGGTTATTTTTTATTCAGATAGTTGGCATTGTGCATATAATCTAAATATTTTAGCAGATGTAATAAAAGACAAAACATGGTGTGTTTTTTTGTGTGTGAAAGTTTCACTGAGACCTATATAAATGTCTACAAATTATATAATGGAAAAATATGTATGCCAATTTCTAATTCTGAAAATACTTCTTAATATGAAGACATTTTTAATAAAATATTCAGAAAAGTTTTTTAGCTATGGAAAATAGATTATATCATTTCCTTTAAGGTACACATTACCCAGTGTTATACTAAATATATTTTGAAGTTATATATTTACATTAAATTTATAGGATATTTATATAATTATGTAGAACTTAGAAATGCTAATTGAAGTATTATTGATAATGTTTCTACAGATGGGAAATAAAATGTGCTTGTATTTTTATAGTCATTACTATGACGGTCATATATTCTGTGATGTTTTTATATAAATACCTAAACTATTGAGTGTTTTATCTCTTCTTGAGATTTTTATCCTGTGCTGTTATATTTTATATTTTTGTATTTCAGTCTGTTGATAATTATCATTTACATAATCTGACTCTTAACTAACTAGCCATTTATTTAAATTGTCCCTTACTGAAGACTACACACACACACGCACACACACACACACACATCAGAGCAAGTGGGTTGTGAATTTTTAGGTTATTATTGTTGACATTGGTAGTAGTTATAGGAGCTACATCTGCATGGTTCAAAATTCAAAGGTGCCTAAAGTTTATAAAGTGTAAAGTTTTAACTCTTGTCTCAGCCTTTAGTTCTCTGTGCCTGAGATAATAATTTTTAATTTTTTTTGTGGATCCTTCCAGAGATATTTATCCCTGTATAAACAAAGGTGTATATTTATATACTAGAGGCCCAGTATATGAAATTCGTGCATTTGAAGGGGTTCCTCAGCCCACCTGCGCCCTCTCACGGTCCAGGAACCCTCGGGGGATGTTCGACTGATGGCTTAGGCCTTCTTCCCAGCCATCAGTCATACATCCTTAGCATTGCTACAGAGACTGGAGCACCACCACCAATGTGCTCACCAGCTGTGAGCTCAGCTTCTGGCTAAGTGGCGCTCCCCTTATGGGAATGCACTGATCACCAGGAGTCAGCTCCTGTGTTGAGCATCTGCCCCCTAGTGGTCAGTGTGTGTCATAGTGACTGGTCGTTCCACTGAAACTGGCTCTCCGACATCCCTGGAGGGTTACCAGATTGCGAGAGGGCGAAGGCCAGGCCGAGGGACCCCATCAGTGGACTATTGGGGCTGAGTAGGGAAGTGAGAGGTGGGCCAGCTGGAGAGGGACTGCGGGAGGGATCCAGGGCATGTCTGGCCCTCATTTGATCATCCAGACCCCAGCAACAAGCTAACCTACTGGTCTGAGTACTTGCCCCCTGGTGGTCAGTCATGTCATAGTGAGCAATTGAGTAGCCTTAGCATATCATTAGCATATTATACTTTGATTTGTTGAATGGACAACTGGACACTTAGCATATTAGGCTTTTATTATATAGGATGTAGATACCATAAACAGATATTTTAAACTTGGAACGGTTTTCCACAAAAATAAATGGAACTATTGGTTATATTTTAACCTTTTGATGTAGTTTGCTTATGGACTGAAATTTCTCAGGTTTGAGAGAAGGGGATTATGTGGTACTGAATGATGAAGGAAGATTTTTTCCTTCTTTTTCTTGGGCATAGAGCTCTCCCTTTGCTCTATTTTAAAATTAATGAATGTTTTCTTTGCTCCTGTTGTTAGTGCCCCCTCTGTAAGCTTCATAGTGCCCAAGCCCTTACAGTCCCTACTGGTCACACTTAACCAGATCTGTCCTATCTCCAAAGTGCTCCATGCTGCCAGATTACCTGCTTGACTTTATTCCACAATAAGATAATGAATTCTGCAGTAAGTTTATCTTTGCTATGCATTAGTTAAGAGCAATATAGATAATTAATATATACTCACCAGTAATTTACCCTGAAATACTTTCAGTTTTAAGAAATTATCCACATATCATATTTTCTCATGAATACCACAAATAATTGTATAAATTAAGGTTTATCATTTGGGTCGGATCTTTGAAGATGACTTGCTACCATAAGTCATGACTGCCTGGCCCGAAGCCTGCCCTGAGGTCAACTCCCCTGAGTTGCGGCTGGACATTTTTTGTTGTTGGTTTGTTTTTCATAGCTTTAAGAATTCTAAAAAATTATAATTGTTGAGTTACTTTGGGAAGTAGAGAATATTTTGTGTTAGAGATATTATAAAGGAGGTTTATGTATGTATCAAATGAGTCTTGATACCTAAAAATTCCATTTAGCTTTAAAATTACATTTATTCCTTTCTGTACTTCAGAACACGCCAGAACTCCCTAGAGTTCTTAGTTTTTCTCACCATGGCTTACTGTTAGCAAGTGGACAATCTTTGACAATAGAGGGGTGTAGGCTTTGGTTGCAGCTCTCTTCATTTATGATTCTTGTCAATTCACCATGATGTCTGTGTAGAGTATAATGGATATTGTAACAGATAAAATCTGGGCAAGAGGGTATTTTTAAATTAGTGTCAGAACATACTCAGTTGATTGTATAAATGATAGATGCAACCTGCCTCCATTTCAGATACTTTTAAAGTTATCTTAAGATTTGGAGCATCATGATGTGTAATATGAATACATAATGGTTAGGAATACATAAAAGTGATGTATCTTTATTTAGATAGCTATGAAAAGAAAACTAATTTCTAAACTATTTTGGTCAGTTGTCATTAATTCCAGATTCTAAAAGAAGAATGTGGGCCTTGATTTTAAGTCTTAGCTATAAATGAAGCTTCATTGTGTGCTTTAGAAAATAAATGAAGATGGGTTTTTTTCTTTTAATTTGATTTTTTTAGTGTGGCATTTGCTTAGAATATTAATAAGTCAGTTCAACAGAAGCAATTTCTTTTTCATTTTGATAACATAGGCTAAATTTGGCCGAAGGTGGACCAAAATTGCAAAGCTAATTGGAAGCCGAACTATTTTACAAGTGAAGAGCTATGCCAGACAGTACTTTAAAAATAAGGTAAGCAGAATATAACTATACTAATTGATAATATTTTAAATAAAATTAGTAAGAAAAGTAGGTTTTAATTCAAGTATTAAAATATTAATGTTCAAAGTTTATATAGTGGAAATATCTTCTAACAACAGGAGCAACAGGTACTTTATAGATATTTGTCTTCAAAATCTCTAAGTATATCTTCAGTGTTATGATTGTTCCTATTGAATAGGTATTATATTATTCTACTTAACTTCATACAGTTAAATAGAAGAAGATATTAATTGCTCACTTAACCTGTTAACCGAGCAGGACCTATAAATACGTCAAACATAAACTTTATCGGGAACGGGTAGGACATATGAATATGTCCTTGAAATATATGTTGCGCCCTGAGAGGGACGGTATATGTTTTTTGTAATCTTTATAATTGTTTGTAAATTTTATAATTTTTTAATTCGATGTTTTCATTTTTTTGTTGATATTCTTTTCTATTTGTTTGTAATTTTGTATTTTCCTTTGTGCTTTATATATAAATAAACGAAAAAGTATATTTCATTTATTTTAATTAAGTATAAATAAAAAAAATAATAATATAAAATTACGTCCACTGGGCATGACATACTGACACGTCCTAGTGAAAGAGTATGCGCCCGTTATACGTTGCATAATTAAAAAGGGAACTCCCCGGTTAACAGGTTAAAATATAATAAACGCTTTAACGAAAAGAACAATAAAGGTACAATACATCAGTGATGTGCTCAGTTTAATAACATTGTATTTATCCTGCTTTTTGTGCCAGTTATTAAGTTTTCAAATTGTAATATTATTGGGGTTTTATCTTGATTTTTAATAAGGTAAAATTGGATGGTCCAGAGAAGGAAGCATCAAATCAGAAGAACAGCAGTGATTTTCAGATTAAAAGTGAAGATGAAAGCACAAAGTCTTGGACCCCTTCTAGTTTAAGGGGACGTGCTGATCCCAACTTGAATGCTGTAAAAATTGAAAAGTTATCTGACGATGAAGAAGTAGACATCACAGATGAGGCAGATGAATTGACTTCTCAGGCACCTCAGGAGAATCCTAGCAGTGATATTTTATTAGATATCCCTAATAGTAAAAGTAATGAAACCTACCAAGGAGAATGTATTACCTCTGACAGCCAGGAAGATCCCATTTCTAAATCTTCCAAGGAATATCTTCAGAATCCAAAGCACATTGAGATGGAAACACTTTCAAGCTCAAGAATTAAATTTTGGACTGAAAAAGAGAGCACCAGTGATGAAAAGTCAGTAGAATTAAATGATCAGAAATGTAATAAACTGATGAAAAACTGTGATAAGCATAATGGAAATGGAATAGTAGATGATACCAGGCTGTTGCCTTCTCCGGAGCCTGGTGAAGTTCAGAAAGATTTGAGTGATCATGAAATGCTTTTTCATTCTTGTCAAATGGAGGAAGAGCACCATGAGGAAGAAGAGCTTAAACCACCGGAGCAAGAAGTAGAAATAGATAGAAATATTATTCAAGAAGAAGAAAAACAAGCAATTCCTGAATTTTTTGAGGGGCGCCAAGCTAAAACACCAGAACGCTATTTGAAAATTAGGAATTACATTTTGGATCAGTGGTAAGGAAGAATTATATTATAGATACTGTTTTAAAACTTATGATATCCTATAGTATTTTAATTAGGCTTATGCAGAAGTTAGTATTTTATAATGCTAATGATCCAGAGAACTTGAACATAATATATTTCAATAGGCAAGACTTAAAGTTTCTTGTGAACTTTTTGGGGAAAGCTTTGGTAAACATTATCTGTAGCTATCTTAATCCATCTCTGTTCATTAGAGTGTTTGGATCTGGAAAAAGGGGTAGATGATTGCCTTAAGAAGTACTTTCTTAGGGCATTGTTAGGGAGATATAGAAAGCACTACTGTTCTGGAAAAGGGGATGACATAACACCTTTCCTAGTTTATCCTGTACTTTGAAATACAAAGAAAGAAAACTTCCATGGCAGGATAATGTCATTCTAAATAGCTGCCTTAAATGCTTTGAACTTTGAACCTGTGGCAGATAGTTCATTCCTTCCTCCAGCTTCATCAGGAAACAGGAATTTTTGATATATGCAGTTTACCCTCAAAAATGTCAGTACCTTTTACTTAAATTATTTAGTGGGGGTTGGGGAACAAACCAAAAAACTTCCTACTTTATTAGCCTAAATGCTCTGAATGTAATTGAATTTTTCATTATAGCTTGAGACATCATTAAACATTCATAATTGTTAATTGTTTCAGGATTGTATAGGGCCATTTTTATAGAGGGCTTCTGCTACAATCTAGGAACATTACCAAAGGAAAACAGGTTATTAAATCAGTAACCATTTTGCTGTACAATATTGAGTGATTTGGCTTTTAAGGATAACTATATTCTTAAGAAAGATTTTTGTTCTTGTTCTTGCAGGCAGTTGAGATTGTTAAAAATGTAAGTTTGGGTAAGGGTGGAAACAAAGTAAGGAATATGTATAAAGAACAGCTGACATTAGCATAATGTTTTACAGTTTAGAGAAAGCTTTTCTGTGTCATCTGATTCCTTAACAACAATCCTGTAAAATAGGCAGCTGGTATTTTCTTTTTTTTTTTTTTTTTTTTTTTTTTTTTTTTTAAATATATTTTATTGATTTTTCACAGAGAGGAAGAGAGAGGGATAGAGAGTTAGAAACGTCGATGAGAGAGAATCATCGACCAGCTGCCTCTTGCACACCCCCTACTGGGGATGTGCCCGCAACCAAGGTACATGCCCTTGACCGGAATCGAACCCGGGACCTTTCAGTCCCCAAGTCGACGCTCTATCCACTGAGCCAAACCGGTGCCGGCGGCAGCTGGTATTTTCAATACTAGTATTTGATAAAATAATTTTGAGGTCAGGAGAGGTTTTACAGCCAGCCAGTAATGGATAGACTTCTGTGCAAGTCTTGACACTCTAAATCACTCTTTCCATGATTCCATATTGCCTAATTCACACTATTAAAAAAGATAAATTGATATCTAATTTTCATTTTGGAAATAAGAGGATGAATGGCCAAAATTGAATGACTTTAAAATAACTCAAAAAATGTCTTTATGAATCATCAGTGAATATTTATTGTGACTTTAATCAAATTTTATTTGTCACTTTGAATTTTGGATTCTATGAGGCAGAATAATTTATAGAGACAGTATAAATTATATAGCAGTAGTTTCCTAATGTCATTTGCCTTAGTTCATGAAGCTAGTTAAAGTGTTGCTGTTTCAGTAGGAGAAAGCAAAAAGAAATGTTTTGAATAGGAAATCAGATGTTCTTTCCAGAAATAGGAGAGAGAATGGTTAGGGACTGGATGTGGTATTTTAAAAAAAATGGAAAAATTAATGTTTTAAAAATAAAAAGAGGCCTGCTTGATTTGTTTGTAGCTAAAAGATCCTTCTCATAAAAGCACATGCAGTCAACTCTCTGCTTAGGGGAATTTAATAAAAATAGTAACCAATGCCATTATTGAATGCCTACCAATGCCATGCATTGTATTTAAATCATCTCCAATCCTCTTGACAACCTGTCCTCCTTTTACAGATGAGAACAATGAGTTTCAGAGAGTAAAAGGAACTTGTTGCAGGTTACTATAAGTGAAGATAATATCCAGGATCTGTAGTCTCGACTCATTATTTTCACACTCCCACCTCAGGGCCTTGACCTAGAGACTTCATTCTGCTTTGGATGCTTTCCCCTCCAGATCTTGCTGAATCTTGCTTTTTTATCTCATTTAGGTCTGCCCAAGGGAAATTAAAGGCCTTCTCTAACCACCCTATCTAAAATAGCTCACATACATATCTCCTTCCTCTCATTCTCTTACCCTGTTTTTAATTTATCTTCATAGAATTTATTATCACTGAAAATATTATATTTTTATTTATTGTCTCTCCCCTCCTCTTTTACCCACCTCCCAGTGATAATGTAGGCTCCACACTAGGACAGATTTTTAAAAATAATCTATTTGTTCATTGTTAAATCCCTAACGTTTAGAACAATGCTTGGAATACAGAAGTCTCTTCATTTGTTAGGAAGAAAAGATTGAATGAATGATTCATCATTATATCATGAACAGATGTTTTGAGAGGCTTTATCATTTGTTTAGTACTGTACTAGATTACTAAGTTCTGCTTAAAGCCTGTGATTTGGATAATTGTTAATGACATCAATTCAGTTTTTAGACTCCAGTTTTTTTGGTAGCCTGTTTTACCATGCTCATTTCTGCTTTATTGATTTTTGTGCAGTTTGTTTTCTTGTAAAACATTTGAAATCTCAACTTTTCAATGGAACTTTGAAACCCTCTCACATCACAAATTACTTTTTACCATCTCTGAAGTTTTATAGAATTTATTATTTCAATTATGGTTTTTGCTTAGAGAGGCCTGACCCAAATATCCCATCTAAAATAGTCTATGCCTATTTATCTCACTGTATCCTTTTTTCTTCCTAGCACTCATTGCCACCTGACAGTACAATAGATATTATTCATTAATTTATTTGACTGTCTCCCCATTCAAGTAGTTCATAAAGCTAGGTAAAGTGTTGTCAGGAAGTGTTAAAGTAAGGTTAGGAAGTTGATATCATTCATCTCTGTATCCTTAGTGCAAGAGAACAATGCCTGATTCAGAGGATACAATATAAAATAAATATTTGTAGGATGAAATAAAGGTTGGGTAAGAAATACCTGTTATATGATTTATCTGAATACTTGGTTTGTAATGTCTGTTTGCATCTTGTCACTTAAAGTAAGTGCTTTAATTTTTCTGACCTTTTTGTTTCTCATCTCTAAAATGAGAATAATAAAATCTATATCTTATAGAGTTGTTGATGAGGATTAAGGTACAGCATCTGGCATAAGAACTTAGTAATTATTTGCTTCTAGTATTGTTTTCTATTACTCTTACACTTTATATTGTCCCATCTAGCATGGTACATTATACATGTTCTGTAAATACATGTTTTATTATACAAACTTTTCATTTCTTACATAATCTTTGGGCATTTCCTGATTTCTTTGGGATCCCCTATAATGTCTGTTTTTCACTGAGAATAAGCACTTTATTGGCATAATGATTAAAGACATAAAATTTTTAAGTATTTATAAGGTAGTTTATAATGAAAAGATACTGCTCAACAAAGTAAAAATAGATGAACCTAGTGATATACTAAAAAATTCAAAAAGCCTAAAATACCACATAATTCAATATATTATCAAAGTGTCCTTTTTAGTCAAGGATTCAGATTTAAATTTGGATCTATAGGTAAATAAGCTTCTAGCTTAAAAGTCCTGGGATAACTGGCATCTATTTTATTTAATTTAATATTGGGAAAGAAGGGATACTTATAAAAATCACACTAGTAAGTTATTATATCATTTTATTTCAGAAAAAAGTACAGTTGGGTATTATGTATTTGTATTTTATTTACTACACATTTACATATTGTGAAGAGGTAAATTTTTAACATATTTCAAATATTAAAAGTTTTCCCAGAAATCCTTTTTCATGTTTTTATTTATCCAAAATAATTGTACTTCCATCTCTTAATTAGGGAGATATGCAAACCGAAATACTTAAATAAGACCTCAGTACGTCCTGGCCTGAAGAACTGTGGGGATGTTAATTGTATTGGACGGATTCATACATACCTCGAATTGATAGGAGCAATCAATTTTGGATGTGGTAAACATAAAAACCCAACATGTTTTACTTGACATTTTTATCTTATGGCACCCATTAATTTCTTTGATGGTTAGAATACAGGAGGATGTAGAGAGATTCTATAGCATTTTTGAATAATTGTATTGGGATTTTTCTGTAAAACAGATTTCTGGTGATTAAACTATATTTCCCTTCGACCTATAGTGAAAATTGGTGGTATAATTTTTAAAGAAAATATATGCAGTCTAGGTAGTACAAATAATTTAAAAATGCAATTCCTTGTCAAGTAAATTTTTAAATGTATTCTACCCCTTTATTAACATGACATATACTTTTTGAAGAAAGATAATACCATAGTTGCAAAGTGTTAAAGTAATTAGAACCTTGCAACTCATGGTTTGAGAAGAGTGTTCTGTAGTGTCTTTGAAAAGATAACTAACCAGAAAACTTCCTGTCAGAGAGGGTTTTTATTTTACAATAGTTTAAAAGTCATAGAATTTACAGTTTGCCCTGAGGTCTTTGTTTGCCCAACGCACTGTATATTAGTACTAGCTTTTCAGGAAAACTAAGGTGACATAGCTTCCTCAGCTACTAAAAGAAAAATGCAATCATATTTTCTGGATTAGACTTCCAAAGTTAGCAAAGTGGACTTAATAAAAAAAAAATTAAACAAATTATCCATTTCCTACATAACACATTTTATTGAGATTTCCTTATAATAGCATTACTTTTATGTGAGAACTAAGTGGTACATAAAATATGTGAAAGTAGATAATATCTCCCTCAAATGTGGAGTAGGATAGAAACTTTGAAGCTCTGGTATAAAAAAAACTTCGAAATTGGCTTACAATATATAGTCAGTGTAGATGTGTCTCCCTTTTTAACGAATGAAAAAACAGTGTTTTGTTTTCCCTAAATTCCAATAGAACAGGCTGTATATAACAGGCCACAACCAATTGATAAAGTACGAATCAGAGACAGAAAAGATACAGTAGAAGCATATCAACTTGCCCAGCGTCTGCAATCCATGGTAAGCAGTCACCTCTCTCACTAACTGATCTCTCCAAATTGCTCTTTACCCTATTAAGTAAGGTATGTCTACTCTTAACTGTTTGACAAGTGGCCATTTAGTGGAAGAACATGTTTTCTCTTGTATTTTACCTTGCCATTCACTTTTCTGTTTCCATTCAATTTCACATAGGTTTATAAGGCAAAAACAAACAAAAATCCTCAAATTTCACTGGCAGTCTTTAATCCCATAGAGAAGTGTAATGTTTTGCTAAAGTGGCCTTAGACTGCTGGCTTTGATTTCTAAATCTAGGATTTTATTTACACTGTACAGTTAAGCTCTTTTTTTCTTTTTAATTTATTTTTGTTTGTTTAAAATTCTTACCCTAAGATTCAGTCTTTTGGGATAGTTATCGAAAATATTTTAGACTTTACTTTTTAATTCTTGAGGTTAGTGAATTTTACAATAGTTTAAAAGTCATGAATTTTATTTAGAAAATAAATCCAACAAGTCCTAAAAAACAGAATCATGTGAACCAATAAGTAGGTTAAATTGGTAATAGGTGAGATAAAAAGGAATAAATATGATACTAGAGTGGGTGTCTTAGAATACTTGAGCTGAAACCTGTTCTACCTAGATTTACTGTAAGAAAGAATGTTTTCAAATATAGTTGCTTGAGATGTTGCTAGTCAAACAGTGACCTCTGGCAAGCTAATTCATTTAAAGGCTTTACATTGAGTTTGCAAAACTGGATATTAGTAATGCAGTTATCCAACATTGTAATTTTTTTTTTTTTTTTACCATTTGTATTAACTAAGCAATCTTTTCTTTTCTAAGGCTGAAATATAATTATTTTGCTTCTAATTTTCAATATTTTTTCTCTTGCTGTGTGTTCTTGCAAGTTTTCTACCACAAGTGATTGAACAGGAAGTAATTTTCTTAGGGATTCTTTTTAGTCTTCAAAATATATTTTTAAAATGTTTTTACTGATTTTTGAGAGAGAGAGAGAGAGAGAGAGAGAGAGAGAGAGAGAGAGAGAGAGAGAGAGAGAGAGAGGGTGGGAGGGAAGGATGTGAAAGAAAAATATCGATCAGTTGCCTCCCTTATGTACTTATGTACCTGGATCGGGATTGAATCCAACCCACAACCTGGATGTGTGTCCTGACCAGGAATCAAACTGGCTACTCTTCAGTGTATGGGATGACACTCAACCAACTGAGACCACACCTGCCAGGCCAGTCTTAAAAATACTTTTTGTTTGAGTATTTTAGCTCCCAAGTGTTTAAAGAAAATGAAAATTAAAGACGAAATCCCATAGAATACAGAAAATAATCACTTCTATTTCTGAGCAGAGTGCTAACTATTGAACATAAATTAATAAAATGAAATTTAGTCAGGCATTGCTAATTAGGATATATAATATATTTATGGAGAAGTTGCTTTTTGGAAAATCATTTTTTAAAAAAATTAAAATGTGCTGTGATTTCTCCAAGTTAATTTTGTTGCCTTTTGCTTTATTTTAATCTCATCACAGCGCACAAGGAGGCGTAGGGTCCGAGACCCATGGGGAAATTGGTGTGATGCAAAAGATTTAGAAGGACAGACATTTGAGGTAACTTTGACCTTTTCAAATGTAAATCTTAATGTCACAAATATTACACTTTAAAAATATATACATATATATGTCTCATTTCCATGTTAATTGTTTTGTCTAGAAGTTACTAATAAACAGCAAAGTAGAAGGATTTGGTGGTGCAGTTAGCTAGGAGTTGGACTCATTTTCAGAACTTTGATGATCTATTTCTACATTCTGCTCTCTAGCTCAAGAATATTATATTTTCCACGGTGCTGGGAAGTTGGTATGCCCAGTTCATTTCAGTAAATGTTGCTGAATGACATTCTGATACACCAATTAAAATAATGTCCCAAGCATTAAGCATAATACAAATATTGAAGTATTATTTCTACTAATAAAAACTATGGTCCTAAAAAGAAAATAGGCAATGAATGTGTGTATGTATGCACCCACACTCATTCTATATATATTATTTGTTTATGAACAGCCAGTGCAGTATAATGGTGTCATGAACAAGGAAGCATCCCCAAAAGGAGCCACTCCCACACATTTGTTTTTTCACAATGACAGGTTTATTAAGGAGTCACATTCGGCTTATACACAGAGGGGGAGCTTATGCTATAGAAGCTAGCAAAGTGAGCACTCTTTTCAAAGTTCTAGTCTCTGGTGGTGTTTCCAGATAGAGAGGCGGGTGTCGGTTTTCAGGTAGGCAGCTACAATGATGGCACTCATCTAGTGAATTGGAAATCTGGCAGGGCTCTGAGCGAGACCTGTGGTACAGCCAAACTTAAATATTACGTGGTCGGAGCTCTGAGTTTTTACCCACCAGGGGTTGAGGTCCCTCTCTCATATCAGTGAGTTCTTATCCAGGTGTCCAAACTTGTAGGTTTGGCCATTCCAGCCCCTCCTCAAACTTGACATACACTTGACCTGTCATGGCTAACAGTTACTCCACATTGGATTGTCAAAGGTGTCCAAAACGTCCTCTCTGCTCATGCTCTATACAAATGGAAAATGTGAAGATAGATAATACCTCAAATGATTGTTGTGAGAATTCAGTGAAATAAATGAAATAAGGTATATGAAGGTGGTAAATGTCAGTCTTCTTTTTTTCACCCACTCCTTCCCCCTAACCTCACAACTGAGCACAGTTCTAGGCACAACAATTAGTATTCACGTGTTTCCATTGCTTCTTGGCCTTTTGACTAAAATCAAGTGTAGTAATACATGGCTCCTGCCTAGAAGTAACTTAGATGAATAGAAAAGATAAAGCCTGAGGTTAGTTCCATAATATTGGCCCTAAGAAGTATAAGGTTCTCTCAAATGATATGGGATATCTCTCAGTTGTGAAAGAAAACCCAATATTTGCTGACTAGAAATGGGAAATGAGAAAGAGGAAAGACTCAGGTTATCCTGAGTTTTTCGACCCAGGATACCATTAATTGAAATCAGTAAGTCAAGAAAAGGAGTAAATTTTAAGTTTTGTATGGCTATATGTTTTAGAACAATTTTTTAAAACATATTATTCAGCATTTCTATTTATTAGTAACAAGAAGGAGACACACTTATCAACTTTGTCTTGTTCTCACATGCCCTTAAATATGGTTTTAAGGGAGTATTTTTATTAATTCTACCTCTCAGTGGTTAATGGATCCATGATCAACTGGTATTTCATATTTTAGCATCTCTCTGCTGAGGAGTTGGCAAGAAGAAGAGAAGAGGAAAAATGCAAACCTATTAAATCTTTAAAAGTGCAAAGATCAACAAAAAGGTATATAAATGTGATTCTTTAACTAATCATAAATTATTAGAAAATGCACAGGAAAATATTTGAAATAGTTGCATTATATTTTTCACATTAAGTCAAGAAATACATGTAAAATTTTTAAAAATTTTTATTTCACTGCTTATCACTTTGGGAGACCTGGAGCACAAGTTTTAAATTTGTTCAGGTTCAGTGAATGTAAGTCTTGAAAAGGGGACTTGTTTATAACAGATGGTCATTTAACTCAGATATTATGAATTGGTAACCTCATGAATGACTAGTTCTCTCTTTAGGTGGTGCTGATTGTTAGCAATGTGGTTGAATCATTTTGAGTCAATATACTTGAATCATTTTGAGTCTACTAGTTTAGCAGATCCTTCCTATCAAAAATGAAATTTAGGTCTACTTATCACAATTTCTATTTTCATAAACCCATAATTATTCTTAGTAGTCACCTCTTTACTTGCTAAAGGCTCACTAATCAGCTATTCAAAAATCTTTTCTAGAAATTTTTTAATATTCAACATCTGATTCCTCTGTTTCTAAAGTCTGCTTATTTTGTGTTTTGAAACAAGACCAATAATTTCCTATTCCAAGGCTTCCAATAATTTTCCCATTCTCTACAGCTCTTCACAAAACATGGACAGTGATTTCACATCATGGTTCTTCAATGCTTTAGAATGCATATGCATTCTTGCTATTTTCTCATCTATCTTGGCTCTTAGTTTATTTTTATTCATGTTGATAAAGCATTTTCTAATTTAAAATCGTTCTTTTTCAATAAATGTTTTTTGAATGCCTACAATATGTCAGGCACTGTTCTAGACGCTTGGAATATTGTATTCAACAAACAAGGTACAGTATGTGTTCTGGAGCTAACAGTCTCAGGTAGAAAAGGAACTAAATAGTTTCACTCTTTCAGTTATGTTAACATGAACATATTCTTTATTTGTTTATCTGAACATAGAAAACTTTTTCATTCTTTTTAAAAAATATATTTTTATTGATTTCAAAGAGGAAAGGGGCAGAGGGAGAGAGAATAGAAACATCAATTATGAGAGAGAACCATTGATCAGCTGCCTCTTGCATGCCCCCACTGGGGATTGAGCCCGAAATTCAGGCATGTGCCCTTGACTGGAATTGAACTCGGATCTATCAGTCCACAGGCAACGCTCTATCCACTAAGTCAAACTGGCTAGAGCAAAACCTTTTCATTCTTAACATATTTCTTAGATCTCAATTCTTTACTGGCCAAAGCCTTTCTAATATTTCTCTTAGATTTATTAGCACATACCTTTATATCTGGACTTGCTTAGGTGCTCCTCTTCCCATCTTTTTTTTTTTTTTTTTTTGCACTTTTTCATTTTAAAATATCAGTTTATTATAGAACTTTCTGTATACATTATTTTTTTTAAAATATATATTTTATTGATTTTGTACAGAGAAGAAGGGAGAGAGATAGAGAGTTAGAAACATCGATGAAAGAGAGTCATCGATCAGCTGCCTCTTGCACACCCCCCACTGGGGATATGCCCGCAACCAAGGCACATGCCCTTGACCGGAATCGAACCCGGGACCCTTCAGTCCCCAAGCCGACGCTCTATCCATTGAGCCAAACCGGTCCCGGCTACATTATTTTCTTTAGCAGAACTGTTTGTCATTTATTCATTCAACAAATATTTATTGAGTCCCTACTTTATGCTGACCATATTATTATATGGACAGAAATGTTTTTGAGAAACTTCCAGCTTTGTTGACATTTCTTTCAGGTCTCATGTCAGGAAATTGGTTAAATCTTGGACTTTTTGAAATCGGCGTTCAGTGTAGGACACATATCTGGCCATTTTTAATGTTTTCTTCTCTTCTTTGGATATTTAAAGAAATTAAGATAATAGAATTACTTTCTCCCAAAAGTCCTGTCATTCCCTCCACCCGCCACCTTTTTAAAAATCAAGTCCAAAAGAGCAGTGCTGCTTTCAGAAGGGTTGTATGGAACATTTTAAGAAAATTTCCTTCTTTAATATTTTTCTCTCTTAGACAGGTTTCAATTTTTGATACATGTTTTCAAATTTGTAAATAAATGTAATTTTCCTAATCTTGTTGAGATTATATTTTTCTTCTTTTTCAGCTCATTTGATCCCTTCCAGCTGATACCTTGTAATTTTTTCAGTGAAGAAAAGCAGGTACTACTTATGCATCACTGAATAACCATACATATTTCCCTCTTGTCAGACATGAAATACTTCTTCATTATATATATATATATATATATATATATATATATATATATATATATATATATATATATATATTTTATATATAGTGGGCAAGGCCGGGTGTATTAAGGGTTAGATGAGTAGTACAGATGGAAAATGAGAGGGTTTTAAATGGTAAATTGTTTTCGAAGTTTGGTTCTCACTGAACTTTAATTGGTAGTAAGACCTTGGAATGATAGGTGATAGGTAAAGGAAAAGAGGGTGGACATTCCAGTGAAAGAGAACAATTTTTATGCTCCCCCATTTTTATACTCCTCCATTTTTGTTGTTGTTGTGTGTGTGTGTGTTTTTTTTTATATTTCAGGAGCCATTTCAGGTGAAAGTGGCTTCAGAAGCACTTTTAATAATGGATTTGGTAAGGATAATCTATTGTATTTCTTATTTATATTCTGATTTATATCTTGTGTATTTTTATTGCAGGCATAAGAGAGAGTATGGAAGACCTGTATTTTGGATCTTAACTATCCTCTTTTACAAGGAATCTAAAAATAAGTCTTTTCTTTTGGAGAAAAGCCAAACAATTGCATGTTTCCATATTTTAGAGAAAATAAATTAATGTGAGTTTTTGCAGACTGTTTATCATCATTAACCCTGTTTTCATTTCCTAGTGTCCTTTGTCTGCTGCCTTCTAGATAACAACAACAAAACAATACTCATAATTTGGAGTTTCTTTGTACTAAATTATTGAGACTCCATAGTGTGTATTTGTTTATGGACTTTTTCTGTAGGAGTTCTAGAGTAACTTTTTACTTTGTATCCTTATATCTTTCCTAAATAGGGAGAGCAAATGGTATCTTTATTTTGTAAGTGAAAAAGTAACATTATGGAGTGTTTGAATGTTTGGTTCAAAGCTTTGCAAACAACAGTGCAGTTAGGTCTGAAATCTTAAGTCTCTGTGCTCTGAGCCCAGCATCTAGCTCCTCTAGCATACTACTTTATATTAGAAACGCATAAGTGAGTTTTATTCTGACGTTTTTGTCCAGTGGTTTGTTTGGGCTAAGTCTGTTTTATATTTCTTTCAGCATGCTCATGTGTCTATGGCAGAAGTGATTGGTCTCTTAGGAGGAAGATATTCAGAAATTGATAAGATAGTCGAAGTAAGTTCTCAGTTTTAAAGACTTTAAAAGATTTTGTCCTACTGACATACCAAATATATATACACATATATATATATATATATATATATATATATATATATATATATATATATATATATTTAAGTATATTTTATTGATTTTTTATAGAGAGGAAGAGAGAAAGATAGAGAGTTAGAAACATCGATGAGAGAGAATCATTGATCAGCTACCTCCTGCACATCCCCTATTGGTGATGTGCTCGCAACCAAGGTACATGCCCTTGACCGGAATCGAACCTGGGACCTTTCAGTCCGCAGGTCAATGCTCTATCCACTGAGCCAAACCAGTTTCAGCCATACCAAATATTTTTATAGATTTCAGTGACTTCACATATGATGTGAATTAGAACATACAATTGTAGAAAGTTATGTATTCCCAAAAGTGACTTAACATTCCATCTATTGAGTACCTGTTTGTTTTCCTTTACCACTGAGGAAAAAGGAACACTCTGCCAGGCCTTGTTTCCTCTTTGCTTTCTCCAATAAAAAGCTATAATCCCTATGAGGCCAGGAAGCATGTGTAACCTTATAGATGAAACGTGGTATGCATTATTCTGTTGAAATTATTATCATAAATAATAGGGGTCACTGAAAGAGTATGTTGGTACAGGTATTAACATGGGCTGTTTTGGAAAATTAACAATTATTATTATTACCTTGTTTAATAGAAAGTAGATTTGAGTTCCTAGCATACAATCACACTTTTGGAGTATAATTCATTTGCAAGTTAAAGGCTGCCTATGATTGTAATCAAATAAAAGGCTTGGCTTTAAAAAGTTTCTGTGTCTATGTGTGAAAGAACTAAAACATTAAGGTTGTAGAATTAACAATTCCAGTGTAATCATACAAGGTTTAATCCGTTTTAGGTCTGTGCAGCAGAGCCATGTAACAGTCTGAGTACAGGACTGCAGTGTGAGATGGACCCTGTCTCACAAACACAGGCCTCGGAAGCCTTGGCTGTGAGAGGCTACAGTGTTATTGGATGGTACCATTCTCATCCTGCCTTTGATCCCAATCCTTCCCTACGAGATATTGATACTCAAGCCAAATACCAGGTGTGTTTATGTGTCGTATGTGTATGCACTCTGTAAATGATTGCACATTCTCCCCCACATTGCTATTTCTATTACATAAATGTACTTTTAAGGTTCCTAGCAAAGTATTGTGTTTTTATGTACTTTACATCTGCGGTTTTTAAATAACTTGCATTTTTTTCTGATTACAAGAGTAATACATGTTTATTTAAAATTTTGGAAAATGAGCTATTTTGTTTAATACAGACAAGTCATCAAAGTAACAGTGATAATTATTCCCACAGCCTTGAAATTTTTTTCTTTTTTTTTCCTTAGAGCAGTGTACTAGTCCACTAACTTTGATCCATTTAACTAAATTTGATTTAATTGGGTCACTTTGATTTAATTGGATCAACTTCTGGCTAATCATGTGCCCCCGCCCCTCCTGATCAAGTGCCCACTTCTGGCTGATCATGTGGCCCCACCTCTTTGAGACCTTGGATGGTCTCTGTTTCTGGGGTGCCATCTCCCTGGTTGGCTGTCTGGCCTTGCTCTCCCTCCTGTCAATAGTCCCTTTGCCAAAGTACTTCCAGAAAATCGTTTGTGCATGCCATCTTTTTTTCTTTCTGCTGGGACTGTGACAACTGGTATTGAGAAGGAGAGAGGAGAGCAGTGTCCCATCTAGGGTCTATGCAAGAGGTCCAGAGGAGCCTAGGCGGTCCCTGGAAGGCTGGAGGAGGGAAGGGTGGCGAGGCAGGGGTGCTAACTAGTGAGTGGGAAGCCCTCACGGCAAGTGTGGCACACACACAATCACCCCATACTCCTCTGTGAGGAACAGTTGTGACCCATTGTGCAGGTGAGGCTACTGCAGCACAGAGAGGGTGAGTGACTTCTTCGAGGGTGGGCACCCAGCAGTAAAAGGGCAGAGCTAAAATTGGAACCCTCAGGTGCCCAAGTCCTGTGTCTCCTTTACCTGTGACCTCTGGGTAAGCGGCCCTTCACCCTGTGGCCATTTGCTCTGATGAGTTTCACCCTTCCCCTCCCGCCCGCTTCTTCACCCCTAGAGAACAGGAGTCCTGTCATTGCACCTGTGCCTCTGGCAATTGCTCTCTCTGTCCCTCGGTCATTCCCAGCTTGTAATCTTGGTGGAGTCCTGCTGAATTGGGGCGAGGGTCTTGTGTGGAGAACACCCCACGTCCCCTCGCCTTCTGTGGCTTAGATTACAAAGTACCTTTATTTTTCCTTGGGCTTCTGCCACCTGCCTCCACTGGCAGATTTTGTTTTACTAGTACATCGAAAAGAAATGGATTTGGGGTCTCCAAACTGGCTGACTTCCTGCATTTGCTCTGTGAGACATGGCTCTGCCCCCAGAGCCTTTAAAAATCGATGGGAACAATTAGAACAGGGTCTGGGAATAATTGAAATAATCAGAAACATAATATATATTTTGCATCTCTGAGAAATACAAAGTTTTATTTTCTGAATTTTATGCTTTTGCTATAGGCAGCTGTTTGTAAATTATTACCATATTGAGAAAAATTATACTAATGGGTTGTAAATATAATTAGTAAATACATTCATGGCAAATAAAGATTTTTTTTTAAAGGTTGGGTTGAACACATTTGAAAACTTTAGTGTGGAATGGCTATAGAAGACATTTCATTTCGTTGCTCTTTAGATGTGAATTTTTAACACCCCTTTTTGTTTAAAACGTTGGTATGGATAAATACTGACTTAAATTTATGTAGTTCAAACTAATTGTATTTTACCTTTCATTGTAGAGTTACTTCTCCAGAGGTGGTGCCAAGTTCATTGGAATGATTGTTAGTCCCTATAATCGAAATAATCCTTTACCATATTCCCAGATTACCTGCCTGGTTATAAGTGATGAAATTAGCCCAAATGGCTCTTATCGTAAGTTTTCAACAAAAACAACTTCTCCCTGTTATCTTTACTTCTTGGAATTCTACAAATCAAAGAATTTTTAATTATGTGAAACTAGTTGGTGGAAAGTTTGTGTCCTTAACAGGGGAATCACTATTTGCATGCCACATAGTGCAATCACCTTTTTCCCTTTAATGCTATTCATCTAGATTCCAGTCTCCTCTGTCTTACTGTGGTTGTTGGGCAAAATGATTACAACTTGGGAAGAGTATGGTCAAGCAGTGTGTGTGTTAGACACTGGAGGCACTGCAATAAGTACAATTCATGCAGACGGGCTTTCTCTGCGATGGCTTACAAATGAAAAAAAGAAAAAGTAAAATGACCGCCCTACCTACCAGCTCTCTATGACCTTAGTTTAGGCTTAACAGTGCCTACCTTTTTTATTTCTTTGCTTCCATTCTATTACAAGAAAGAATTTGGTTGGTTTAACCCCATGGTTGGCAAACTGCGACTCTCAAGCCAAATGCGGCTCTTTGGCCCCTTGAGTGTGGCTCTTCCACAAAATACCACAGCCTGGGCAAAAGTCTGTTTTGAAGAAGTGGCGTTAGAAGAAGTTTAAGTTTAAAAAATTTGGCTCTCAAAAGAAATTTCAATCGTTGTACTGTTGATATTTGGCTCTGTTGACTAATGAGTTTGCTGACCACTGGTGTAGCCCATCATATGAATTGGCTCTTTTGAGATTTATTTCCACTTGTGGTCCAATTAACTGGCCAGGAATTAGTGCAGCAGACTAGGGAAAGGAAGTGTGGATGGAAGGGAAGTGATTAGAGAAAACAATGGACATCGTTAGGATATTTATTTTGTCTTCTTTATTCTAACTACCACTCTAGTGTACTGTCTTCTCTAGATATTGTCACTGCACATTGTATTCCTCCCCATTAACTCATGAGCTCCTTAAAGGTAGATACTATATTATCCTTAATTTTCTATTCTGTTTCTAGCATAAGCTGGCATTAAATAGGTGCCAAGTGAATGTTTATGAAATTTCTTTTTATTCTTAATGGTATTATGCCTTCTGTTTGATAAAGACTTCCCAGCACTATCTCCAGTCATTTACTATTCGTTGCTCTGTTCTTTGTGCATCTGCTATACCTGTTTCCAGTCTTCATGGTCACTTTGTCTTGGTAAATGGTAATTTATCTAAACTGGGAGCCCCAAAGAGCAGGAACTGTCTTCTTTGTTTTTGTATCTCTGGTAGCATTTAATAGGAAATGACCCCCCCCCCCGTAAAAATTTGTATAGTATTGACATTAAATTCAGTTCAAAATGCACATAACACACACACACACACACACACACACACACACACATATATATATACACACACATATATATATCATTCTTTAGTCAATATGATCGTATAAAACGTTAAAAAGAAGGAATCACAGTTAATTTGTTCTCAAGTTAGATAACTTCTTAATCTCACAACCTGTACTCTGATGCTGCTCAATACAGTAGTTATTAGCCACATAGGACTATTTAAATTAATGAGAATTAAATACCCAAAATTGGACAAAATTGTGATCCCCAAATTAACCAAACTTACTAACTTGGAAGAATTTCCAGGCATGGCACAAGGAGGAGAAACCTCAACCCAGAGCTAGGCTGACTCTGAGTTGAAGTGATGGAGGTGAGACTAAGGCAGCTAAATTTACAAGACAGAGGCCAGAGATCAGAAGGTCACATAGAGCCAACTAAATTTGTAGAAGATACAAATTTAGTACTTATCAAGATGTGGACCAGCTTAAGCATGTGAAGAAACTACACTAATGGGAGAGAGAATCACTTGAAAGGATTAGAGGGAACAGTACTGGATGTTCACATACGACAGTGCACAAGTATTCAATGTTAATGGAAAGTTATATTGGGCAGAACTGCTTCTTAAATGACTTGGCCATTATAACACTGCTTATTAGATTTTAATCTTACGTCCTTTGCTCCTCTTGGTAATCTTCTGGTTCAAGAATTAAGAATTTCTAGAAGCCATGGGATATCTTATATTTTGATACTTTTTCTGGCTCTTTCTTCCTTCTTTCCCCCTCTCTCTGACTATCTCTATTTCTCTCTCTCTTGCATATATCCAAATTCTATTTTTTAAATGTCTCTACTGGTTAAGCATTTTCTATACTTCTAATAGGCATGAAATATACTTAGTGATTAGTTTTCTTCTGATTTTTAGTGTATTCAAAAGGAAATTTTTTACTGGTTTTAGTGCCACTTTTTTTACTTCGAAAAATATTCTTAATACTAAATAGAGCTGTATATAATGTGCTTGTGTGTGCGTGTGCGTGTACATGTACGTACTTACCATTTTACATCAGAACAGTCTGAAAATAGATTTATTATCTCTCTTTATGCTCATTTTTGACTTTCATTAGGAGTAGGAGCTTTTCACCTGGATTCAGATTCCTCTGGCAATTATTGGTTATTTTACTTTGGTTAGATTACTTTACCACTTTTATTCTTCTTTGCCACATCCATAAAATGAAAAAAAAAAATTATTACCTTGCTGATAAGGAGTTGTAAAAGTTGTCAGTAATGTGTGTAAAATGCTTAGCAAATAGTAGGGTCATTAGTAGTTATAATTACAACCATTGTCTGTGCTTAGTAGCTAATCAATGCATATCAAGTGAATGATGATCACCAAAGGGAGTTTGCTTAAAGGAGTCACTCTTAAATTTTTGGAGGTGAGAAATATAAGGGAGGAGAATTGAGGAATGCAAAAAAGATCAATTATCATCAGATCCGCTGTTCTCTCCTTCCATACACATGAAAAAAAATCGGGGAAGTATAGCCATATATTTTTTTTTTTTTCTTATTTTTGGCTTCTGATTTTCTGGCTTTTATTTACTTGAAAAGCATTATGTTGTCAGAAACCCAGTTGAGAGGCAGTATAATGGAAAGGTTAAGAACATAAGCTTGAGACAGAATGCCTGGGCTCAAGTTCTGCCTCCACCTCTTACTGGTTATATATGTCCATGAACATGTTATTAACCTCTCTGTGGCTCAGTGTTCTCATTAAAAAAAAAAAAAAAAAAAAAAAAAAAAAAGAGCCCAGCTGGTGTTGCTCAGTAGTTGAGGGTTGAGTGTCCACCTGTGAGCCAGTAGGTCAAGGTTCGATTCCCCAATTCCCTGTCTGGGCACATGCTCAGGTTGTATGCTTGATCCCCAGTGTTTGGGCAGGAGGCAGCCAATCAATGATTTTTTCTCATCATTGATGTTTCTGTCTCTTTCTCGCCTCCCTTCCTCTCTGAAATCAATAAAAATATATTTAAACGCACACACACACACACACACACACACAGAAATCGGCAAACATGATATCATGATATGGTTTAAAATCCAACTTCTTTCACTTGACTAGTCTGAACAGATTGTTTAACCTGTCTCAGCCTCAGTTTTCTTATCTGTTACATAGGAATAATAGTACCTACCTTATAACATTGTTGTAAGCCTTAATATAACCTGTATTTAAAAAAATCACTAGTATGGTTTATGTTTTGGTTTGCTTAGATCAGGCTCAGTTTAAGCCTATTGTCATTCTGGCTCAATTATTAGTAATGCCCCCTTTCACTCAAAAAGTCTCTTGTTTTAGGTAATAAATTATGTGATCATTCTGCCTCTCACAGTTCCTTGCATATAATTGTCATGCAAATAGAACTTTTCTTTATTATTATTATTATTAATTGCTTGGCATTAATATGCTTGAACTAAGTTCAGCAAGGCAGTAAATATTTAATGATGGCTTACTATGTTAAAGTGCTATTCAGCTGGTCTGCAAAGCTATAGTTGTGAAAACAGTAAAGGGATTTTAAGTAATTAAAAGGAGATTGAAAGAAGTCTAATGTGCTATCAGAGAAGATAAAATAAATATATAAATAGGGCAAAGGAGATTGGCGTTTTAAGAAATAGTTGATTAAAATGTGCTTCTTTATGTTTTTCTAGGTGTACCTTATAAATTCGAAGTACAGCAGATGTTAGAAGAACCTCAGTGGGAATTAGTGTTTGAAAAGACAAGATGGATAATAGAAAAATATAGACTCTCCCATAGGTACGTGCTGTGGTTTGAGATGGTTGCGTATCTGCAGTATTTCTCATTAAATTATGTTTTAGAGAAAACCCAAATTAAATGTAAAATTGTGATGTATGGCATCAGGGATAGTTTATTACAGAACTGATTAGTTTATAGTACTTGTTTCATCAATCTGTTTTCTTGTTTTTCACAACAGCAGTGTCCCTATGGATAAAATTTTTCGCCGGGATTCTGACCTGACTTGTTTACAGAAAGTAAGCTGCCTTTATTTTATTTTATTTTATTTTATTTTATTTTATTTTATTTTATTTTATTTTTTTAGTCCACCAAAGAAAAAATATGTTCTTTAATGTCACAGATTTTTTCCAAAGAGAATACAGGGCTGAAAAATAATCTAACGATTCATAAAAACGGAGCCTGTATATCAGTCCCCACCAGGATCCAACCTTTGGTATTTAATATATGTTATCCATTTAAATTAAATAGTCTGGATTGAATTTAACATTACAAGTTAATTTTTAATTCACAGATATTAAATCCCAACCGTGCAGAGTCAGTTTCCCTTCTAAACAGTAATGAAATCAAAATTTTCTCTCAGACACTTATTAACTGTGGCTGTCACATTTGTCTTCTTCTTTTCTTATCCCAGACGACAGGCCGAAAGAGAAACAAGCAAGATTCTCCTTTTGCATTTTCTATGAAATGAAACTGAAATTGAATACTATTGACTCTCTCAGGGTTAGGAGACACTTTCTCCTTCCCTCAGCTGATTCCCTGTAAACTTTGCAAATTAGCTCGCTTTGAGCAATCTGTAAAGGCAGGGGCAGCTCAGCCGTGGAAAAGCCTTCTTCTTTCCAAAGTATATTATCTGGACCTACGTGACAGTTAATTCTTTATATCCTAGATAATTCTTGTATATCCTATATAATAAAAGGCTAATATGCAAATTGTCCCCTCAACCAGGAGTTCAACCAACAGGCAGACCGCCAACCACCCATGTCCCGTCCCCTGTCCTGAGCCGCCTGTCATTGTGGACATTGGCAGCCTTGTGGCTGAGGCCATCTAGTCCTGGAGGCACCTGCTCTTCACCACCCCAGACCCCTTTCCTGTACTTTGGTCCCGGACGCCCCGAGGCTCCCCTCTCTGTCACACCCCTACCCCTACCCCCCACATGACTTGTAACTGTTACGCCCAGACTTTGTGATCCCCAAGGACCACCAGGGAGCCGAGTTCGATGCAATAAACAAAAGAGCCTTTTCCATGCTAGCATGGGCTCTGTCCCACTCACGCCGAGCTGCCTTTATTTTAATTGGTTCCTTTGTTCGAGGATTCTAAAGCTATTTATCTCAATATGTTTTCCCAGGATGCTTAATGCTTTGTGGATACATTTTCTGTTTCTTTTATTGCTTTTTTCCTTTTTAAAATTAATTTCTAGGAGATAATTAGTAATATGTTTTGTTGCCCACACTTGCATATAGAAAAAACACTATTTTAGAATAAATTTGTCAGTGTTAGCTGATAAATTTCTTAGCATATTATTGTACACAATAGAGAACATTTTTCTTATTTTATTAAATTAAAAAGCACCATGTTTCCATTTAGTTTTAACAATTGATCATTTTAAAGAATGGTATTATATATCTAACAATTAAATTTAAATGGTCTTATTTAATTTTCTGGTAGGATATAAGAGTCCTAAATTCTTTTATTTCACTTTTAATTTTGTTTATGAATGTAATGAATTACGACCGGTAGACTGGCAACATTTCTCTCTCTTTTTTTGGTAGCAGTTTGGAAATAGAAAATGCATGTTTACATTCCTTCTATTATAACCACTTTTATCTGTTTTAAGATTAATATGCACCTTTCCCAGGAAATAGACTGTATAGCATCCTAATTTTGAAATGGTAGAGTCCTGTGTTTGTATTTGCATAGATTTTAAAAAATCTTATCTGAGTTTAAAATTTTTTTATTTTTATTGATTTTAGAGAGAGGGGAAAAAAGAGAGAGAGAAATATTGATCCTTCAGCTCTTTCCTGTAGGTCCCATTCTGGGGATCAAGCCCACAATTTGGGCATGAGCTCAGACTGGGAATCAAGCCGGAAGCCTCCTGGTGCATGGGGCAGCACTCAACCAACTGAGCCACATGGGCCAGGCTGGATATTTTGTTTTGTAATGTAGCTACTTAAAAAAAGAACACAGGCCCCACCTGGGTGTCTCTCAGTTGGTTGTAGCATCAGCCTGTGCATCAGAAGGTTGCAGGTTCTATTCCTGGTCAGGGCATATACCTAGGTTGCAGGTTCAATCCCTTCTTGGAGCACATGTTGGAGGCAGCTGGTTGATATTTCTTAAATCAATGTTCCTCTTTCTCACTACCTCTTTAAATACCAATAAAAACATATCCTCAGATGAGCATTTAAAAAAAAAAAAAGCACAGTCACAAATTTGTCCAAAGTAGAAAGCATCACATATGCACATACAATATCATATTTGTTTCCTTATCCTATATAATAAAGAGGTAATATGCAAATTGACCATTATTCCACCACACAAGATGGCCTCCCCCATGTGGACACAAGATGGCCAGCAGGGGAGGGCAGTTGAGAGGGACCAGGCCTGCAAGGGAAGGCAGTTGGGGACCATCAGGCCCTGCAGGGGAGGGCAGTTAGGGGCAATCAGGCCGGCAGGGGAGCAGTTAGGCGTCGATCAAGCTGGCAGGGGAGTGGTTAGGGGGTGATCAGGCTGGCAGGCAGAAGTGGTTAAGGGCAATCAGGCAGGCAGGCAGGCAGGCAGGCGAAGTTGGGATCCAGCAGTCCTGGATTGTGAGAGTGATGTCCGACGGCCCCTTTAGGCTTGATTTCGGGATTGGGCCTAAACGGGCAGTTGGACATCCCTCGAGGTGTCCCAGTTTGGAGAAGGTGCAGGCTGGACTGAGGGACACACACATACCCCATGCCTCTAATATAAATCATAAAGGAACTAACCTAAGCAGTCAACATTGGCTTCCTATACTCCAGCTGCACAGTTACTGTGTACAAGTTTGTGTTCCGCCATATGTAAGAAAAATGTTTATCATTTGAGCATTAGAAAATGTGAGATTTATCATTAAATAAGGATAATAATATAAACCTTGTACTTTTCATGTGTTCAAATGTAAAACTTTTCTTTTTCAACTAGCTTTTGGAGTGTCTGAGGAAAACTCTGAGCAAAGTGACAAATTGCTTCATCGCTGAAGAATTCTTGACTCAAATAGAAGATTTATTCCTTTCAAGTTATAAAAGCAAGCAGGAGAATGAAGTGGGTGAAGACAACTGTGCTGTAGGTCCAAAGGAATTGTTAATGTAGTGATTTTAAAGTAAGACATTTTACTCTTGACACAGTAGATCCTATTGTCCTTTACAACCTTGAATAATTATAATTTAGTTAACAGTGACATAGTTTTGATATTTTTCTCTAATTCACAAAATCTGAACTTTGCCACCTAAATCATATAACAAAAAGGGATAGAGACTTGTTTTTATGTAGTGAGTACCAGAGTTTGTGTAAATGGGCTTGCCACATTGCTCCTGTCCTGTGGGCGTGGCCAGCAAGCAGAGCAGCAGACTGAAAGGCTGTCTGCTTTACTGTTGTATTCAGGTTGATAAACAGAATGTGTTTCTAATTTTTATTTTTTCCTGAACTAGTCATTCCATTTTTGGGAACTCATTCCTCATTAGGAGCACTTTCATCCTTTACATGTGTTTTGGTGAGATTTGTTTATGGTTGCAAATGTGATATGGATGGGTGGTCCCAGAGGTAATTAACATGGTTGAAAATTACTGATTTAATAAATATAACAACATGCTATGTGAGGCCAGGGAGAGGCCTAAGAAGAAAAATCTTAAAAATAGGGAGGAGCCCCAAAGAAGAGAATCCAATTACCGGTTTTTTAATTATAGATATTTGCTTCCATTTTTTTTTTTTTTTTTTATTTTATATATCCACAATACTACAGGATATGCCATTCTCTCAACTCTGAAACATTTTGTATGGGTTTCAGATATATAAAATAATTAGCTTCAACTTTATATCCACACATTAGTGTGTATGTGATATAACCGCATTTAACTGCAACACAGATAATCATAACCCTCAAACTAGATTGTTTTTCTATTACCTGCTGTTAGTAGAAAGAGACAAATTACAATAAAGCTTAAAGAAGATATTTACTTTTTAAAAAAAGAAAAAAGCCTTCCAGGACATATTACATATACAACCCAATTTGATATACTTTTTGAATGTAGAACACAAGTCAACAAACTTTTTATGTAAAGAGGCAGTTAGTCAATAACTTAGGCTTTGCTGAACACATACTGTCTCTGTCAGACATTCTTTATATTGTTTTACAACCCTTAAAAATGTAAAGCCATTCTTAGCTCATAAGCCTCACAAAAAAACAATACTGCCCATTACCTTCCAACCCCTGCTCTAGAGAATTGCAGATAATTAGGATTTCTTTTCAGATGCATGAGCCTGAGACACTGAAAGATCTTGCATCATTTTCAAACAATAAAACTCAAAATTGTGATTTACATTTAAGTACATTTTTAAAAAAATACCTAATAATCATGCTGCCTTATTTATCCTAATTGTAGTTTATTTCTATTAACCATCAAATTTATATTCATTCCCCAACATTCCTATTAATAACAGGTTTGTTATATCTAATCTGGGTATGATCCTGTATTTTACCTTTTTGGTTATAATCAATAGCCAAGGAGAAATAAGGCAGTACTGGAAGGAGCAGTGAGCCAGTTTTAGATGACCTGGGTCTTGATTCATTCTTGTAATTTTGGGGGATAAGCTTACTAAATTCTTTAGGCCTAAATTCCTGTGTATCTGAGGTCTGAGTTATCTTCCTGACATCCTTCCAAGTCTGAAATCGTATATTTCATTTTAATTGTTGGTTCACTCACCTGAAACTTGATATTTTGAGTTGGTATAGTTATAAAATTAGCAAATGTTTTTAAAGAAAACTGGTAGTATTTTCTATTTCTCTTTATGCATTTAGAATCAACAATGAAACTTAACATATAAAGCAATTACTTTGGAGATTGGGGGTGTAAGCTCTAGACCAAAACTCAGGAAACTTTAAGAGTTCTTACCCTAATTCTTTTATCAGCTTTGCTGTGTGACTGATAAAATTACATAACCTGTCTGGATCTCAGGTTCTTCATCTAGAATTCAAGGGTCTAAATGTTATGATTTAGTATTTATTTCCAAGTGCAGAAAAATCTGTGATTCTGTAAAATGTAGTAATTCATTTCTTTGTACTCTTCCTTTTGATGTATTTTCCTCATTGTACATGGGTAACAGATCTTAAAAAATGGTATTAGTTAGCTTTTGTGATCGATAGTACCCAAATTTATGGGTGATGGAAAAGTGTGGAAATTGTTAGAAGCTCTGTTCTCCAATCTGGGTCTTCTGCATGCCAGTGGTTAGCTATATTTACTAAGCCATAATGTGAGGAATGCAAAGGTGCTAATTCTCAGCATTTAGAGATTTGAGAGCACAATTTTTTAAATTAAATATTTTTTTTAAAACAAAATATTCTATTTAGAAACCATGTCCTTCCCCATTTTATTTTTGGATAGTGTAATTTTAGAACATTAAAAGTTGTGATATTTCCTCCCCTCCTCCCTCATTCATTTTCCCTGCTTTCTTTTCTTTTCTTAGCATATTCTTAAAACAGTTTTGTAGCTGGAAGTACCCACATTTCTGTCACTGCCAACCTTGGGCTGTGAGGGTATTGAAGCAGGCAGGTTTTTCTTGGAGAAACAAGAAATTTAGAACTGAATGGCAGTGTAGTACAGGAAGTTCAGGAGGCAGGGTCTGAAAGGGGAATATGCCTCTTAAATATGTACAGTATTGGAGATAAGATTTGAAAACATCCAAGTCTCTTCAAATGAACTTAATTTTTTTCTTCAAGCTTGGCTAGTAAAAATTGACACTATTACTTTGCCAGTGTTAGATTTAGTTCTCTTGAAAAATCTAATCCCAAAGTAACATTCAAAAAAAGAAAAATCAGTGGAATGGGATCAGACTCTCCTTCCCTCTCCATTACTCTAGTGTTGGTCCATTGGCCCCATATCCAGAACTACCTTATGACTATCACAGGGTCTAAGACACTTATCTTCTTGGACCTCTTCCATTAAAAATTAATCCTAGATAATAAAAGCCTAATATGCTAAGTGTCCGGTCATCTGGTTGTTCATTCAACCAATCAAAGCATAATATGCTAATGATAGGCTAAGGATGCTTAACCACTTGCTATACTTATACTGACCACTGCGGGCAGATGTTCCGACCAGTAGGTTAGCTTGCTGCTGGGGTCCAGTCAATGATAGGGACTGAGTGAGACCAGGACTGAGCAAGATGGGCCAGACATGCCCTGGAGCTCTCCCACAGTCCCTCCCCAAGTGGCCAACCTCCCTCGTCCCTCCCCAGCCCCAGTCCTGCAGCAGTGGGGTCCCTTGGCCTGGCCTTTGCCCTCTCATAATCTGGGACCTCTTGGGAGATGTCAGAGAGCCAGTTTTGACCCAATTCCTCAGGCCAGGCCAAGGGACCTCACTGGTCACTGGTGCATGAATTCATGCGCCTGGTCTTTAGTACATTATCATTGCATTTGCATAAAATGAATTTATAATCTATAGTTTCCCTTCATTTCCCTCAAGCCCTTTCTTCATCCCTGGGACTCCTCTACTACTGACCTGTCAGCATTTAGGTACAAGGTCATTCATTCTATCATTTGTTGAAAGCAGGACCTGAAGAATAGAGATGGGCAGACACATTCATATTTTCCAGGAGCTGATTAATGCTGCCCCAGCCTCTCTCTCTAACTTGCCTCCCCCACAGGAGTGGTAGGGTCTGTGACGTGCACCCTACAAGCAGGGTCAGAGAACCTCTGCAGCTTTCTGGGCAACCGAGGAAACTATGGCTTCAACATGCCAACCTGAGCAGGTCTTCTGCTCTTCAGTTTACCTGCTTCCTGTTTTACGCTGGGTCCTAACAAGGTGAGTTGGAGGACCTAAGGATCTGATCTAGTCTAGGTGTCCTAGGATTGATGCTTGGTCCTGTACCTAAATAAGAGCCATATGACATTTGAATATCTGAAAGGTAGCTCCCTGTCCTCAAGTCATCAGCAGATATCCAGTTGATGGATTTCTCAGTAAAAATGAAGTTAGGATACCCACATTTTGTGTTTATTTTATTTTATTTTTTACGTTTTTCCTCTACCAATAGCTAGAGACTAAATCTAACACACATCATGACAGTTAGCAAAACTTCACTTAAGCACAAAGGAAAAAACATATACATTTTTGTCAGCACCTGCTCCATCAGGGTTCATATACATTTAACACATTTGATCTGTATTTCCAATTCTTCAGTAGTTTAATAATTTTCTTGTAAATTAATAACAGATCTTGCAATATTTCCAGAAAATCATTATAGAGAATAATGTAATATATTTAATTCCTGACCTTTCATTAAGTGGTTTTATATGTGCTGTTTCCCCAAAAGTGTTTTTCTGTTTTCATTTAATCTGTAATTTGTGCTTTCTGCTGTTTTCCAAGGTTTTTTTAAAATATGTTTTTATTGATTTTAGGGAGGGAGAAGGAGAGAGATAAAAACATTGATTAGAGAGGAATATCAATCAGCTGTCTCCTGCAAACCTCCTAATGGAGATCTAGCCTGCAACCCAGGCATGTGTCCTGACAGGCATTCAGACCACTGAGCCACACAGGCCAGGCATCCGGATCTTAAATCCTTTCTGGAACAAGACAGAGAACACATATGGTCTCACCCTAAATAATTAGCTTATGACATCTTGTTTTTATTTTCTTTGAATATTACTTATGAATTTATTCATGAGGACTTTAATTTTAGAGGAAAATGCCTGATTTGCTATCTTTGAGAATTCCTTAAGTAGTTTTTTAGGAATTAAGAAGGATGTAAAATATGATTTCATAGATTATGTTCTTCTTTCATAGGATACAAAAGAATATTTGTTTCAACCTATGGATGATAAAGTAGTATGTAGATTCTAGCATGACTTAAGTAGATTAGTCATATATCTTTAAATCTGTGGATTTGACATGTAAATTGTATATTATGTATAAGTTTACTGTGATTATTGATAAGACTATTGCTGTTTTCCCAAAATATTATCAGTGTTTATGGATTTCTTTTAGTAGTTTGAATCTTGTAATGTTCTGTAACAAAATACAACTTAAGCTATTTTGTACATTTAAATATGATGCCGTGTTATCTATTAATATTAAAAAACATTGTGAATATGAATATTT